TTTCCAATCATTAAATCCCTTAATGGAGAAGGTCGCGTCCGATGATACAGATTTGAATTTCCTGCAGGCATAACAAAATGCGGAGTCCTTTTCCACCGAGTACTCAAGCCAGTCCCTGTTCAAATACCAGCTAGAGGAAAATGATCGTTTTTTTGAACCAAACATTTTGACTGGATATTTCCTCAACACAACCTGTTTGGGTTTGTCCATGCCGAGGTCACTCACACCCACTGATTCAACAGGCAGTTGTGGCTCAAATGCTGCCCCAGTCGCGGTTGCACTTGACCTGCAGGTCCTGCCAGGCCCAGGGTCGGACTCCACGGAGCTACTAGCATCAGGCTCAGACTGTCGTCCAGGGTCTCCTTCTCCAACTACAACATCAGGAGGCGTCGGTGTCGTATCCAATTTGGCAGAGGAGACTGTTGGTGGGCTTTTCAACCACTTACGGATATCCATGACGAACTGAAGCGAGTAAGCCGGCGAAAACTCATCCAGCTTTCAAAAATGCGCGGTAACTGTTGAGCGGCTACACTGACGTAGGCTACGTCACATACGTAGCCTAACTTTCTTTTTATTAAGGCCGTGATAGGCTGTTTCAGTGTAGATTCCCATCAATCAAACAAAATCACACCATTGTTTCTTTATATTTTTAATGTTTTTTAATGATAAAGAATGCAACATTAATGCAACACAAAATTAGCAACTATTATAATATAAAATTAAAGTAATTTTTTTAAGAGATCTGTGCCTCAAGTGGGGGGGGGTCACAAGCATTTTTGGCCCGCCCATATCGACGGGTGTGGTGGTGCAGCCAGCTGTGTTCTAGAGCTAGATAGTCTAGTGGTGCAGCCAGCTGTGTTCTAGAAGACAGGAATGTTCTAAACACCTGAGGAAACAGAAGTCATAAGGGTTCATCCCCTCTGTCATTCATACATACAAACACAGACTGTCATATACACATACTTACACCAGTGGAGGCTGGTGGGAGGCGCTATAGGAGGACAGCTCATTGTAATAGAATAAATTGAACGGAGTCCAACGTGGTTTCCATACGTTTTATGTTTTTGAATACCATTCCATTCCAGCCATAACAATGAGCCTGTCCTCCAATAGCTCCTCCTACCAGCCTCTACTGACATACACAATCTCTCTCTCGCTCTCACACACACACACACACACACACAGACGACTGCAGCGATTGCCAAAGTAAGCTGTTAGCATGCCATCTTTTTATTTACAGTCAGAACATTTATCGTTTTTTAATATATTTTACAACACAGATCTCTATTTGCACGACATCCTCTCCTGCCAAACGCTCCTTTAACATGTCATTGGGAAATGTAATCCTAATCTTTTATTTGTCAAACAAGTTTGTTCCTGTCTTGCTTTCTACTTACTGAGAGACGGAGGGAGGAAGGGAGGCGGGTGGTCACAGAGTCACTCTCCGTCTTTAGAAGAACTAACATTTATCCATCCGTATCATAATAATACCTCATGGCCTTTTAAGGTAATTCAGACAGACAGGGAGAGACGTTCTGGCTGCATCCCAAATGGTACCCCATTCCCTATGTAGTGCACTACATTTGACCTAGGCCCTATGGGAATAGGGTGCCATTTGGGACACGGATTCAATTGACATCAGGGGAGATCTAAGTCAGGTGTTGTTCCTCCATCTGTTGATGCTGATAACGTTTTAGAGACGTTGTGTTTTTCACTTCAGTGGTTTTCTCCCCCAGCCCTGTCTGGGTGTTTTAGTTAGAGATGGACCAATGGACACCCTTCTCTCCCTCTCTCTCTCTGTCTGTCTCTCTCTGTCTGTCTCCCCCATCTATCTCTCTCTCTGTCTCTCTCTCTCTCTCTGTCTCTGTCTCTGTCTCTGTCTCGCTGTCTCTCTCTCTGTCTCCCCCATCTGTCTCTCTCGGTCTCCCCCATCTGTCTCTCTCTGTCTCCCCCCATCCCTTTCTCTCTCTCTGTCTCTCTGCCCCGCCTCTCTCTCTCTCTGTCTCCCCCATCTGTCTCTCTCTCTCTCTCTCTGTCTGTCTCTCTCTGTCTCCCCCATCTCTCTGTCTCTCTCTGTCTGTCTCTCTCTGTCTCTCTCTCTGTCTCCCCCATCTCTCTGTCTGTCTCTCTCTGTCTGTCTCTCTCTCTCTGTCTCTCTCTCTGTCTCCCCCATCTCTCTGTCTCCCCCATCTGTCTCTCTCTGTCTCCCCCATCTTGCTCTCTCTGTCTCCCCATCCCTTTCTCTCTCTCTGTCTCTCTGCCCCGTCTCTCTCTCTTTCTCTCTCTGTCTCCCCCATCTCTCTATCTCTCCCCCCCTCTCTCACTCTCCCCCATCTCCCTCTCTCTGTCAGATGTGGACGAGTGTGAGCAGGGAGTGTGTGAGGAGGAGTGTGTGAACACACCCGGTAGTTTCCGGTGTTTCTGTGACGGGCGGCAGGGCAAGAAATTGAGCCACGACCTCAGGAGCTGTCAGGTAAAAACTCACCACTCACATTATCAAGACCTGTAGAAAACATCCCCCATCTATTAGTCTGAGATTCAATATAACATTCATTTTCAACAAGCAGCACTGCACTGGAGACAATGGACCTGTTAAAGGCACTTTCCCTTACAATGTGCATGTGATTGAATCTTTGCTTTAGAAGACATAGAAGTCAGATTCCAGTTATCCCGTATGTGTGCTGACTCTTAACATATGTAGAGGGTCGGCACACAGCCCCCAAAGGGATTCTTACTGTGGTACTAAATTCACTCTGGAGTGCCAGAGTGCGCTCTGGGCGTTCGTAAATTCAGAGCATTTTCAGATTGTCAGTTCGTAAATTCGGAGCGTTTCGCTCTCGGAGCGTTCAGAGAGCACACTGGACACTGACCGAGGAGTAGGGTTGATCCGAGCGTTCTGACCTCACAACGGCAATCAAGCATCCAAGCTAACTGGCTAACGTTGGTCAGCTTGCTAGCTACTTCCATGTTACTCCTGCTAGCAGTGCTGGTTTGGCTGTTTTCATGTTATCCAGAGCGTTGGTGACTAACTGTGCTGCTGGCAACAATTTAATAACATTTTTTTGCCGACATTTAATGACACCGGTCATATTCAACGGGTGTTGCGCGTTCATAAATGTGTCAGTTATTCTGCGCTCTGGCACACTCCCGACTAGAGTGCTCTGAAATCGGAGGAAATAGCCAGAGTGAATTTACGAACGCACCCTGTATGCAAGGATTTCCTCTGCTGCATTATCTCACCATCCCCCATTCTGAATAGAACCCCACAGTGGAGGTGTCACAATACCCATAAAACCTAGCGGTCAAACAGGGACATTTAATTTTAGAAACTTAAATAAGGGCTGTGTTTCGTGTAGGCATACCCTAGCGTGACGTTTGATAAGCATGTAAATCTCTCCCGGACAAGGTGACTTTTATCAATATATTCAGCTCTATTTCCTCTGATTTATAAAATGCTAATTAGCATTAAAGTAGACATCATGCAAGACTACAAATCCCTGCAAGCTCCTGCACGTCATCTCTAGCTGACACCTCTGCAAACAGGTATTGTGTCAATTTAAAACTTGAATTGTACATTTTAAAGAAATTTTGCCAATTTATTCAGTACTAAATGTAGCTAAAATTAGATAGTTAATCCAGAGATTCTTACCTTTGTCTTGATTTGTCAGTCTCGTCCAGATCATCATGGCATTTGTAGTTCTTTATGATAGCCACATTAGCAGCTAATTACCATTTCATTTTTGTGGGGGTAAATATAGGCAAATATATTGATAAAAGTCACCTTGTCCTAGAGAGATTTACACGGTTATCAAAACGTCACGCCAGGATAAGCCTACATGAAACACAGCCCTTATTTTAAATGTTTCTAAAATCCCCTATGGGATTGACCACTAGGTTTTATGGGTATTATGACTCATACTGTGGTACACTATCTCACCATCCCCCATTCTGTCAAACCTCTGAGGCTCTGTTGTGATTACTTCCCGTAGGTCTGATATCTGATTGGAAGTTAACTTTACAGTAATGCTATTGGTCAACAAGTCAGATGCTTATTAAAGGGTTTTAGCTTCATAGCCTCTTTCTCTTGTTGTTAAACTCTCTCTTCTATGAGCCATGGTCTCTCTCTGTCTCTCTCTGTCTCTCTCTCTCTGTCTGTCTCTCTCTCTCTGTCTGTCTCTCTCTCTCTCTCTGTCTCTCTCTCTCTCTCTGTCTCTTTCTCTCTCTCCTCTCTCTCTGTCTCTCTGTCTCTTTCTGTCTCTCTCTCTCTGTCTCTTTCTGTCTCTCTCTCTCCGTCTCTTTCTGTCTCTCTCTCTGTCTCTCTGTCTCTTTCTGTCTATCTCTTTCTCTCTCTCTCGCTCTCTTCTCTCTGTATCTCTCTCTCCTCTGTCTCTCTCTGTCTCTCTATATCTCTCTCTCTCCTCTGTCTATTCTAAATTTCTCTCTCTCTCTCTCTTCTGTCTCTCTCTCTACTCCTCTTCTCTCTCTCTCTCTCTCTCTCTCTCCTCTCTCCCTCACTCTCTCTCTGATCACGATACTGAATGTTTTGTTAATGTCAGTATTGCCTTGTAGCTTTAGCTTTATGCCTTGAATAATGTGTCGTTCATTTTACAGTCATTCAAATCTATTTGCCTTTTGATAGACAACTCTCAGTCCTTTTTCTGTAACTCAACTATAGTATCTTGCAAATTGCTAAATCATCTTCATGGAGTCAGATAAACATTTTAATAGTCTTTGTCATTAATAGCTTAGTCTTACCAGGTATATATAATATAGCCTACATAATATATTTAACCCACTACACATAAATATACCAGTTTAAAGTTACAAAAATCATTCTGACATCGTATCATAAAGCTAGCAACCTATCAACCAGATTTGGACTCTCTCCCTCTCTCTCATTCCCCCTTCCTCTCTCTCTCTCTCTCTCTCTCTCTCTCTCTCTCTCTCTCTCTCTCTCTCTCTCTCACCTCTCTCTCCTCCCCCTCTCTTTCCCCCACCAGGAGATCACTACATGTGTGTCTCTCACCATGAAGAGGAACTCCCGTTCTCTCTACCTGGGCCGGATGTTCAGTGGTGTCCCCGTGGTCAGGCTACGCTTCCGCAGGAGGGTCCAGACTGGGTAGGCCTTACCTCTAACCTTTGACCTTACCAGTCTCCTGTGGTTTCAACCTCTTTTCCAAGAGAGACCTGGAAAGATGCCAGCAAGGCAAAAGCATTTTAAACGTTCATAGTTACAACCATAGTCTTCTACCATTGTAGGATCATATTACATCCTGTCCTTATCTCTCTCCCTCCTCTAGGTTCTCAGCTGAGTTTGACCTCCGTACCTTTGACCCGGAGGGGGTCATCTTCTTCGCTGGTGGTCACCTGAACAGTTCCTGGATCGTTCTGGCAATGCATCATGGGAAGCTGGAGCTGCAGCTGAAGTACGGGGCGGTCAGCCGGGTCACCAGCAGCGGGCCAGTCGCCAACGACGGACAGTGGAGAAAGGTCAGAGGTTATTCTGGGGTTACAAGGGGTCACTTTATAGGCTGGGTCTCAATAGTCTAAAGTGACTTCCCTTCCTTATCTCCTCTCCTGAGGGGTCGTTGACTCGGGGGTACATCCCAAATGGCCCCCTATTCCCTATGTAGTGCACTACTTTTGGGAGAGGTGTTACTGGTGACCTGGTCAACATTTGTGCACTGTATAGGGTGCCATTTGGGACACTGTAGGAGAAGAACAATTGAGCCCCCTGTCTTTCCTGATTGGTCCACAGATCTCAGTGGAGGAGCAGGGGCGGAGTCTGGTGATAAAGATTGACAGGGAGGCAGTGATGAAGATTGCTGTGAACGGAGATCTGTTCACCCTGCAGAAAGGCATGCATGAACTCAACCTGACTGTAGGGGGCGTCCCTTTCAGAGAGGACAGTCTCATCAACCAGGTTAGCGGGGGGTCTGTGTGTGTCTGTGTTCTCGCTATAATCTCTTATGGGGAGATGTGTGTGTGTGTGTGTCTTCTCTGCCTAATATGTGTGTGTGTTCTGTCTAATGTGTGTGTGTGTTGTGTTCTGTCTAGTGTGTGTGTGTGTTGTGTTCTCTGCCTAGTGTGTGTGTGTGTTCTGTCTAATGTGTGTGTGTGTGTTGTGTTCTGTCTAGTGTGTGTGTGTGTTGTTCTCTGCCTAATGTATGTATGTATGTGTGTGTGTGTGTGTGTGTGTTGTGTCCTGTCTAATGTGTATGTGTGTGTGTGTGTGTGTGTGTGTTGTGTTCTGTCTAGTGTGTGTGTGTGTGTTGTGTTCTGTCTAGTGTGTGTGTGTGTTGTTCTCTGCCTAATGTATGTGTGTGTGTGTGTGTGTTGTGTTCTGTCTAGTGTGTGTGTGTGTGTGTGTTGTGTTCTCTGTCTGTGTGTGTGTTGTGTTGTGTTCTCTGTCTAATGTGTGTTGTGTTATCTGTCTAATGTGTGTGTTCTCCAGGTGAACCCGAGGTTTGATGGATGTATGCGTGAGTGGCGCTGGTTAACAGGAGAGGATACGTCCATTCAGGAGACCATCAGGTCTAATGACAACATGCAGTGTTTCAGTACGGAAAACCCCGGAACCTATTACCCCGGGACAGGCTTCGCTCTGTTCAACATCACATACGGTATGTGTGTGTGTGCATGTCTCTATGCATATCATCTTCTGATTTGTATGTATAGTTTACACATTTACCTGGTGTGTGTGTGTGTGTGTGTGTAACCACATCTCTCTCATCCAGCAGAGCCCCAGTCTCTGAGGATCCAGCTGACTCTGAGACCAGCCTCCACTGTTGGGGTTCTATTGGCACTCGTTTATCAGGACAGCGTCCCTCTCTCCATCTCTCTCTCCGACTACCACCGAGACAACCAGGAGTGGCGGGAGGTGAGATGTTACTTTGTCCCGATGTTGTGTTGGTCTGTCTTTCTGTCTGTCTGACTCTGTCTGTCTGAATTCATGAGTGTGATGTCTATGGGTGTCTGTTTGACTGTCTCGCTCTCTCTCCCCAGTATGTCCTGGTCTCTGTGGGTGATGTGATCGTGGCCAGCGCGCCGGCTTTCCTGTGTGATGCAGAGGTTCATGAGGTCAATGTGACGGTCAGCGGGAACCTGACCATACTAGAGGTGGACGGTCAGCCTGGACAGAGTCACACCACACTTGGACAGGAGACCGTTGACCTCAGCCTGCCTTCCAGCACCTTTATAGGAGGGCTCCCTGGTGAGTTAGACAGGTATAGGAGGGCTCCCTGGTGAGGTAGACAGGTATAGGAGGGCTCCCTGGTGAGGTAGACAGGTATAGGAGGGCTCCCTGGTGAGGTAGACAGGTATAGGAGGGCTCCCTGGTGAGCTAGACAGGTATAGGAGGGCTCCTTGGTGAGGTAGACAGGTATAGGAGGGCTCCTTGGTGAGCTAGACAGGTATAGGAGGGCTCCTTGGTGAGGTAGACAGGTATAGGAGGGCTCCCTGGTGAGCTAGACAGGTATAGGAGGGCTCCCTGGTGAGCTAGACGGGTATAGGAGGGCTCCCTGGTGAGGTAGACGGGTATAGGAGGGCTCCCTGGTGAGGTAGACGGGTATAGGAGGGCTCCCTGGTGAGGTAGATGGGTATAGGAGGGCTCCCTGGTGAGGTAGACGGGTATAGGAGGGCTCCCTGGTGAGTTAGACAGGTATAGGAGGGCTCCCTGGTGAGGTAGACAGGTATAGGAGGGCTCCCTGGTGAGGTAGACAGGTATAGGAGGGCTCCCTGGTGAGGTAGACAGGTATAGGAGGGCTCCTTGGTGAGCTAGACAGGTATAGGAGGGCTCCTTGGTGAGCTAGACAGGTATAGGAGGGCTCCTTGGTGAGCTAGACGGGTATAGGAGGGCTCCCTGGTGAGCTAGACGGGTATAGGAGGGCTCCCTGGTGAGGTAGACGGGTATAGGAGGGCTCCCTGGTGAGGTAGACGGGTATAGGAGGGCTCCCTGGTGAGGTAGATGGTATAGGAGGGCTCCCTGGTGAGGTAGACGGGTATAGGAGGGCTCCCTGGTGAGGTAGTAGACGGGTATAGGAGGGCTCCCTGGTGAGGTAGACGGGTATAGGAGGGCTCCTGGTGAGCTAGATAGACTGGTAATAGGAGGGCTCCCTGGTGAAGCTTAGACGGGTATAGGAGGGCTCCCTGGTGAGCTAGACAGGTATAGGAGGGCTCCCTGGTGAGTTAGACAGGTATAGGAGGGCTCCCTGGTGAGTTAGACAGGTATAGGAGGGCTCCCTGGTGAGCTAGACAGGTATAGGAGGGCTCCTTGGTGCGCTAGACAGGTATAGGAGGGCTCCCTGGTGAGGTAGACGGGTATAGGAGGGCTCCCTGGTGAGCTAGACGGGTATAGGAGGGCTCCCTGGTGATCTAGACGGGTATAGGAGGGCTCCCTGGTGATCTAGACGGGTATAGGAGGGCTCCCTGGTGAGGTAGACGGGTATAGGAGGGCTCCCTGGTGAGTAGACGGGTATAGGAGGGCTCCCTGGTGAGGTAGATGGGTATAGGAGGGCTCCCTGGTGAGGTAGACGGGTATAGGAGGGCTCCCTGGTGAGTTAGACAGGTATAGGAGGGCTCCCTGGTGAGCTAGACAGGTATAGGAGGGCTCCCTGGTGAGGTAGACAGGTATAGGAGGGCTCCCTGGTGAGCTAGACAGGTATAGGAGGGCTCCCTGGTGAGCTAGACAGGTATAGGAGGGCTCCTTGGTGAGTTAGACAGGTATAGGAGGGCTCCCTGGTGAGCTAGACAGGTATAGGAGGGCTCCCTGGTGAGCTAGACAGGTATAGGAGGGCTCCCTGGTGAGCTAGACAGGTATAGGAGGGCTCCTTGGTGAGCTAGACAGGTATAGGAGGGCTCCTGGTGAGCTAGACAGGTATAGGAGGGCTCCCTGGTGAGCTAGACAGGTATAGGAGGGCTCCCTGGTGAGCTAGACAGGTATAGGAGGGCTCCCTGGTGAGCTAGACAGGTATAGGAGGGCTCCTTGGTGAGCTAGACAGGTATAGGAGGGCTCCTTGGTGAGCTAGACAGGTATAGGAGGGCTCCCTGGTGAGCTAGACAGGTATAGGAGGGCTCCCTGGTGAGCTAGACGGGTATAGGAGGGCTCCCTGGTGAGGTAGACGGGTATAGGAGGGCTCCCTGGTGAGGTAGACGGGTATAGGAGGGCTCCCTGGTGAGGTAGACGGGTATAGGAGGGCTCCCTGGTGAGGTAGACGGGTATAGGAGGGCTCCCTGGTGAGGTAGACGGGTATAGGAGGGCTCCCTGGTGAGTTAGACAGGTATAGGAGGGCTCCTTGGTGAGCTAGACAGGTATAGGAGGGCTCCCTGGTGAGCTAGACAGGTATAGGAGGGCTCCCTGGTGAGCTAGACGGGTATAGGAGGGCTCCCTGGTGAGGTAGACGGGTATAGGAGGGCTCCCTGGTGAGGTAGACGGGTATAGGAGGGCTCCCTGGTGAGGTAGACGGGTATAGGAGGGCTCCCTGGTGAGGTAGACGGGTATAGGAGGGCTCCCTGGTGAGGTAGACGGGTATAGGAGGGCTCCCTGGTGAGTTAGACAGGTATAGGAGGGCTCCCTGGTGAGGTAGACAGGTATAGGAGGGCTCCCTGGTGAGTTAGACAGGTATAGGAGGGCTCCCTGGTGAGCTAGACAGGTATAGGAGGGCTCCCTGGTGAGCTAGACAGGTATAGGAGGGCTCCCTGGTGAGCTAGACAGGTATAGGAGGGCTCCTTGGTGAGCTAGACAGGTATAGGAGGGCTCCCTGGTGAGCTAGACAGGTATAGGAGGGCTCCCTGGTGAGGTAGGCAGAGAGAGACACGCGACAACACACATACTCATTACTACTGTAATATACAAACAAAGAGATGCACACTGACACACACAGACTGACACACCGTTTGGCCACTACCATTCACCTATCACCACCACTTCTCCTGGTGTCATTCATTTCAGTTCTGACCTCTAACCCCTGACCTGTGACTTCTAACCCCTCTACCAGACGTGCCCCTGGTGTCGACCCCGGTGTCGTCCTTCTACCGCGGCTGCATGGAGGTGACGGTCAACGGTCTGGCTCTGGACCTGGACGAGGCCTTCCACAAACACAACGACATCCGCTCCCACTCGTGCCCTCTGCTGGGGGGGGCCTTGTGACCGCTGCAGTCCCCCTCAGCCCCGTCCTCACTGGAGTAGGGCGAAGTTGACCCTAGACACTGCTCTTGGATCAGTTTCACATTTTACCCACAAATGGTTAAGGTTAGGATTAGGGGGAGGGGAAGCTGATCCTAGTTCAGTAGCAAGGGGAACCTTCACCCCGTCCTAGGTCCACTACAGTCCACTATAACCCACAGGGCCTTAACCCAAACCAAGGTATGAGTCCCAAATGGCACCCTATTCCCTATATGACCCCTGTGGGTTCTGGTCAAAACTAGTGCACTATTTAGGGAAAAGGGTGCCATTTGGGATGCACACAGGAGCTGGCCAAGTGGCCAACCCTTCTACTGGACTACCTTTCTGCTTTCATCATGATCACATTTAGGAACAGCACTCGCACATCTGAGGTTGCAGGTGCGTAGGAAATTCTGTGATATCTTGAAAACCCAAATCCAATATCTCACACTGCTCTTGCCAGTATCTTTTAGTCTATTAAGCTTATGTATCGGCCTCACGGCCTTCGTCAGAGCTAATGGTGATCAAACTTGATCCATAAGTGGAATAGCTGACAGTACTCCAGAAGAGGTTTGGTAAACTGACTGAATCCCTTGTGGAACAAAACCTATAAGGTGTGGGGGGGTATTCAGTAGGCACAAGGCTTTGTTGTTGTAAACCTTGCACACCATCGCAGGTAAAAATGGACTGAGTTTATTAAAAACATCTGTTCGGTGCTCTCCAACTTGATGCAAACTTAGTCTACCTGCAATTTAGCTCTGCACACTGCCTACAGATTACAACATAGGGCTAGGTCTTCTCTTAATATAACCCCATTAAAACCCCAAAACCCTCCCAAACCACGCTTCTACTCCTCTACACAGTTACATCCACCTCCCCCACTCAGCCATTGGAAACACTCCATACTGTCACCCTTTCACACACCCCTCCCTCCTTCCCTCAGTATCACCAATCGGCACACGCCAGGAACACACTTTAAGCCAATCAGAAGAGGCTAATTAACATACAGTAACCAATCAGATACAGATACACAGGGGGAGGGCACCAAGAGCACTGCATCACTACACTATGAGCTACTGAGAGAATAGGAGTGGAAGCGCTGTAATATACTATATGTGTAAATAATGTGACTGTACAATGCTTTTTAGAAAAAAAACAAATAAAAATAAAAATAACTACCGTAACGCATCGAGATAATCATCCAAAACAGTTTCACTTCTCCAAAGAATGTCAGAAGAACATAATCTCTCATTATTTCATGAGGCCAAAAAGGGCTCCAGTATTTCCTCTTCCTCTGTTATCTAGAGTTTCTGCTGAATTTCGGAATGTAGCGGTCGATGGATATTTCTTCTCTTCTGTGTTGTGTGTTATTATAATGTAGGTTTTTTGTTTTGGCTGTTGATTTGTCGCAGCAGGTTCACCTGTCTTTCAGGCTTTACATCCCTGATCACCTCAATTCAGTCTGTTTGAAACTTAATAAAGAGGATGGAGTTTTAAAACGGGTTGTTTGTTTGTGCTGCTCACTATGTCTTTGCTCAGTTTGACCATGATCACGGTGATGTCCCAATTAGCACCCTATTCCCTATGTAGTGCACTACTTTTGAACAGGGCCCTGGTCATCAGATCTGAACAATCCAGCTACATCACATGACCGCTAGGTGGAGCCAGAAGCATAATAACAAATCACATGGTTCAGTTTAGGGTTTTTGTCATGTAAAACATTTAATACCGGGACCCCACCACAGTGAGAGAACAGTTGGTTCACATTTCAAACATTTGGTTCTCCTCTCAATTTCTTTTCCAGTTAATCACTGAACCAAATCCTTCCTTCTCTCTACAGCAGTGTATATATAACTATAGGTATCCTATATATATATATATATAATCTATAAACTACACATATATACTCTATAAACTATATATATATATATATATATATATATATATATATATGAAGATAAAACAAGACTGACAATAACCATTATAGGAGATACAGTATGTCTATCAGTTACTGGGATCACTAGTCTGGTGGTATATTAGATCATATGTTATATACACTATATAGTTAGAAGACTCTAAAAGCTACTTGTTCAGTTGAATAATTGCACATGATGGTTAGATAAAGACTGTCTACAGTCAGCCTGGAAGTCTATAGACAGAAACTGTCTGAAAGGTAAATATGTATGACATCCACGATAAAGACAATAGGTCAATAAATGTTTTTTTATAACAATGCTTTAAGTATTTCAATATTGCTATTAACAGATTGATAAATAACATGCCACCATCTTGGCCACCCAGTAGGGCATTTAAAACGTCTACAAACCAATCACTACATTAATAGATTATTATTATTAAAATCCAGAGACCTTCTCTCTGTCATGGTTTATCGGCCTGTGAGGTGTCTTGTGCTACATTCTCTGGCCTGGTCCAAAAACACGCCCTAGCGCCTTCTCCTAGCCCCTTATCTCCTAGTCCCTAGTTTCCTAGACCCTTCTACTGCTTAGCTCGTTGTTGTGTGGAGATCTGGAGGAATCTGATAGCTGGGTAAGAAGCAATGACTGGAAGGGTATATGGAAGCCGTCACACCATCTGATTCCTTCAGGTCTGTGCTAACCAGGTGAGAGGTTAAGGATTGTTTCTAGACCTCTTCCCATTGATTTATCCTGCAATAAATGTTGTTCAATTGGTAATTTGCCAGCGTTTCTTCTTCTAATGCCTCTAATCTAATTGTAACAGTAAAAGTAACAGATTACCTTACTGAGTTTGAGTAATCCAGGTACATTTTAAAAGTAACCTACCCAACCCTGCTTGCGCTACATTCTCTGGCCTAGTCCAGAAACAAGCCCTAATCCCTTATCCTAGTCCCTTGTCTCCTAGTCTCCTAGCCCCATGTCTCCTAGTCCCTTGCCCCCTAGCCCCATCTCTCCTAGTCCCTTGTCTCCTAGCCCCTTTTATTCCCTAACGTTGTTGTGTGCAGATCTGAAGGAATCAGATAGCTGGGATTAAGAAGCAATGATTGGAAGGATATTGTTATATGGAAGCCACATGTGATTAATTGGAAGGATATATGGAAGCTGTCACAGCCAGCTGATTCATTCAGGTCTGTGCTGACCAGGTGACAGAGACTAAGGGTTGTTTCTGAACATGAGCCTCTCTTACCCTGCCCTAAAGGTGAAAGGCTAAATGTTGGGTCGGGGTTCAGAGGGGGTTGGCGTTCAGCATGCATAAGGAGGGGGCTTCTCGAAGCCGGAGGGCCCGTAGACGGGGCCAGGGTAGAGTGCAGGGGCGTTGGGTGTTAGCATGTAGCCCTGACCAGGGTCCTGGGGGCCAGTCTGGGAGGTGGGCTGGCTGGGGGCCTGGGAGGAGGGCTGGCTTTGGCTCTCCTCTGACGGGGAGGAGGGGGTCATGGTCATCTCCAGGCCGGGCAGGGGGGTGGAGGGGGCCTGGTAACTGCTGTGGTGCTGAGAGGAGAGAAAGAGAGAGAGAGAGAGGAGAAGAGAGAGAGAGAGGAGAAAGAGAGAGTAGAGGAGAAAGAGAGAGAGAGAGGAGAGAGAGGAGAAGAGAGAGCGAGAGAGAGATGAGGATGAGACGGATAGAGCGGAGAGAGAGAGAGCGCGCGAAGGGAGGAGGAGAGAGAGAGAGAGAAAGAGAGGAGAGGAGAACGAGAGAGAGGTCGAGGAGAAAGAGAGAGAGAGAGGCGATAAGAGAGAGAGGAGAAGAGGAGAGCGAGAGAGAGACGGAGAACGCGAGAGAGAGCAGAGAGAGAGGAGAGAGAGAGTGAGAGAGAGAGAGGAGCGAGAGAGAGGCAGAGGAGAGGAAGAAAGAGAGAGAGAGGGGAGAGAGAGGAGAAGAGAGAGAGAGAGAGGGGAGAGAGAGAGGAGAAGAGAGAGAAAGAGAGAGACACGAGAGGAGTGGAATGAGACAACAGAGAGGATAGAGACAGACTGGTTCATAGACACATTCATATCACTGGATGACAAGAGAAGCTATTGTTGTTGGGGTCTAACCTGCAGGGGCAGAGCAGGGTAGTTGGGGTATTGGTTACTGCATGGCAGAGCAGGGTAGAGTTACCGAGGTTGGAACAGTTGAAGTACCTGCAGGTGCAGAGAGGGTAGTAGTTGTTGGGGTATAGTTACCTGCATGGGCAGAGCGGGGTAGTTGGGGTATTAGTTACCTACCGCAGGGGCAGAGCAGGGTAGTTGGGTTTAGTTACATGCAGGGGCGAGCTGGGTAGTTGGGGTATTAGTTACTGCAGGGGGCGAGCGGGGTAGTTGGGGTATTAGTTACCTGCAGGGGCAGAGCGGGGTAGTTTGGGGTATTAGTTACCTGCAGGGGCAGAGCGGGGTAGTTGGGGTATTAGTTACCTGGCAGGGGTAGTTGGGGGTATTAGTTACCTGCAGGGGCAGCAGGGTAGTTGGGTATTAGTTACCTGCAGGGGCAGAACGGGTAGTTGGGGTATTAGTTACCTGCAGGGGCAGAGCGGGGTAGTTGGGGTATTAGTTACCTGCAGGGGCAGAGCGGGGTAGTGGGGGTATTAGTTACCTGCAGGGGCAGAGCGGGGTAGTTGGGGTATTAGTTACCTACAGGGGCAGAGCAGGGTAGTTGGGGTATTAGTTACCTGCATGGGCAGAGCGGGGTAGTTGGGGTATTAGTTACCTGCATGGGCAGAGCAGGGTAGTTGGGGTATTAGTTACCTGCAGGGGCAGAGCAGGGTAGTTGGGGTATTAGTTACCTGCAGGGGCAGAGCGGGGTAGTTGGGGTATTAGTTACCTGCATGGGCAGAGCGGGGTAGTTGGGGTATTAGTTACCTGCATGGGCAGAGCGGGGTAGTTGGGGTATTAGTTACCTGCAGGGGCAGAGCAGGGTAGTTGGGGTATTAGTTACATGCAGGGGCAGAGCTGGGTAGTTGGGGTATTAGTTACCTGCAGGGGCAGAGCGGGGTAGTTGGGGTATTAGTTACCTGCAGGGGCAGAGCGGGGTAGTTGGGGTATTAGTTACCTGCAGGGGCAGAGCGGGGTAGTTGGGGGTATTAGTTACCTGCAGGGGCAGAGCGGGGTTGTGGGGGTATTAGTTACCTGCAGGGGCAGAGCGGGGTAGTTGGGGTATTAGTTACCTACAGGGGCAGAGCAGGGTAGTTGGGGTATTAGTTACCTGCATGGGCAGAGCGGGGTAGTTGGGGTATTAGTTACCTGCATGGGCAGAGCAGGGTAGTTGGGGTATTAGTTACCTGCAGGGGCAGAGCAGGGTAGTTGGGGTATTAGTTACCTGCAGGGGCAGAGCAGGGTAGTTGGGGTATTAGTTACCTGCATGGGCAGAGCGGGGTAGTTGGGGTATTAGTTACCATGCATGGGCAGAGCGGGGGTAGTTGGGGTATTAGTTACTCTGCAGGGGCAGAGCCAGGGTAGTGTGGGGTATTAGTTACATGCAGGGGGCAGAGCTGGGTAGTTTGGGGTATTAGTTACCTGCAGGGGCAGAGCGGGGTAGTTTGGGGTATTAGTTACCTGCAGGGGTAGTTTGGGGTATTAGTTACCTGCAGGGGCAGAGCAGGGTAGTTGGGGTATTAGTTACCTGCAGGGGCAGAACGGGGTAGTTGGGGTATTAGTTACCTGCAGGGGCAGAGCGGGGTAGTTGGGGGTATTTAGTTACCTGCAAGGGCAGAGCGGGTAGTGGGGGTATTAGTTACCTGCAGGGGCAGAGCGGGGTAGTTGGGGTTAGTTACCTACAGGGGCAGAGCAGGGTAGTTGGGGTATTAGTTACCTGCATGGGCAGAGCGGGGGTAGTTGGGGTATTAGTTACCTGCATGGGCAGAGCAGGGTAGTTGGGGTATTAGTTACCTGCAGGGGCCAGAGCAGGGTAGTTGGGGGGTTTAGTTACCTGCAGGGGCAGAGCGGGGTAGTTGGGGCATTAGTTACCTGCATGGGCAGAGCAGGATAGTTGGGGCAATAGTTACCTGCAGGGGCAGAACGGGGTAGTTGGGGTATTAGTTACCTGCAGGGGCAGAGCGGGGTAGTTGGGGTATTAGTTACCTGCAGGGGCAGAGCAGGGTAGTTGGGGTATTAGTTACCTGCAGGGGCAGAGCAGGGTAGTTGGGGTATTAGTTACCTGCAGGGGCAGAGCAGGGTAGTTGGGGTATTAGTTACCTGCAGGGGCAGAGCGGGGTAGTTGGGGTATTAGTTACCTGCAGGGGCAGAGCAGGGTAGTTGGGGTATTAGTTACCTGCAGGGGCAGAGCAGGGTAGTTGGGGTATTAGTTACCTGCAGGGGCAGAGCGGGGTAGTTGGGGTATTAGTTACCTGCAGGGGCAGAGCAGGGTAGTTGGGGTATTAGTTACCTGCAGGGGCAGAGCAGGGTAGTTGGGGTATTAGTTACCTGCAGGGGCAGAGCAGGGTAGTTGGGGTATTAGTTACCTGCAGGGGCAGAGCAGGGTAGTTGGGGTATTAGTTACCTGCATGGGCAGAGCAGAGTAGTTGGGTTATTAGTTACCTGCAGGGGCAGAGCAGGGTAGTTGGGGTATTAGTTACCTGCATGGGCAGAACGGGGTAGTTGGGGTATTAGTTACCTGCAGGGGCAGAGCAGGGTAGTTGGGGTATTAGTTACCTGCATGGGCAGAGCAGGGTAGTTGGGGTAGGCGGGCAGGGCCTGTCTGTTGGGGCAGAAGCCAGCATAGGTCACCACGTGCTGGGTGGGGTTACACATGATGTGGGGGGGTGGGGCTGGACTGGGGGACATCTGGGGGGCAGGAGCCTGAGATAGAGAGAAGGGGGAGGATGACAGGAGGGAGAGAGAGGAAGAAATATAGTTAGTGTTACACACAATTACAAATGACATAGCTACCTAACAAACATGTGTGTTCTAGGTACTGTGTATGCATATAGTGTGTTTGTGTGTGTCTGTACGGTGTGTCTCTTGTGTGTGTGTACTGTGTCTGTGTATGTGTGTGTACTGTGTGTGTGTGTGTGTGTGTGTGTGCCCACCAGGTCCTTGTAAGCCCCCAGTATAGCAGCGGTGATGATTCCCAGGAACAGGCCCATTATGTTGAGCGTCACACAGGCCCACAGCAGGCGATAGAGATGGACCACGTCCCAGCAGCTACTCACCCCCGTGAACTCATAGTACTGGGTATGGTAGTCTGGACTGGAGGGACAGAGAGGAGACAGAGTGAACTCATAGTACTGGGTATGGTAGTCTGGACTGGAGGGACAGAGAGGAGACAGAGTGAACTCATAGTACTGGGTATGGTAGTCTGGACTGGAGGGACAGAGAGGAGACAGAGTGAACTCATAGTACTGGGTTATGGTAGTCTGGACTGGAGGGACAGAGAGGAGACAGAGTTGAAACTCTAGTACTGGGTTATGGTAGTCTGGACTGGAGGGACAGAGAGGAGACAGAGTGAACTCATAGTACTGGGTATGGTAGTCTGGACTGGAGGGACAGAGAGGAGACAGGTGTGTTTTTCCTCACCTCTCACAGTTGAACAGGTCGCAGCAGTAGCAGGTGTTGCTCTTCACTCTCACTTTACACTCACTGTTGAAGGAGTTGCACATCACCTGCAGACAGACAGGACAGACCAGAAAGACAGGACCGACAGAACCGACAGGACAGACAGGACAGACAGACAGAACAGACAGACAGGACAGACAGGACAGACAGACAGACCGACCGACAGGACAGACAGGACAGACATACAGACAGGACAGACAGACCAGATAGATAGATAGATAGATAGATAGCTAGTAGATAGATAAGGCTAGATAGATAGATAGATAGATAGATGTAGATAGATAGATAGATAGATAGATAGATAGACACAGAGATAAAGAGACATTGTTGCTAGCTATGGCAGTAAATAACTGAATATGTAACTGTCAGTAGATGGAGCCAGAGTGCCCGAGAAAAGCCCCCATCCAGCCAACCCGTCCGTAAGGGCTTGCTGCAGGTAGACTATAAAACACCCCATAACCCCTAACTATGTATTATCTAAGACTCTAAAGCTAGATCTATGTCCCCCCTGCACTATGAAGGGAAGAGGGTGTTATTTCAGACACAGGCTCGATCTCCATGGTGAACATGCTGTTACAGAATGGGAAGGAAAAGATACGCCCCATGACATTTACTAACTCTGGAAAGACTTCATCCAGCTTCAATTCATTCTGAAAGCCATAAGCAAGTCATTCAACGATTTTCACACACTGTATACTTAGGAAGGATGTGTGTTTGTGGGAGGAGGGTGTTGGTGTGTGTGAGGGTGGGAGGAAACTGGGTCGTAGGGGGTGTGGGTGTGTTGTGTGTTGTTGGTGGCGGTGGGAGCGGGGGGGGGGTCTAGGGGCTGTAGGTCTAGGGGGTCCGGGTGGGGGTGGTGGGGGGGGGGTGTGGGGGGGGTTGGGGGGGGGGTGTGCGGACGGCTGGGGGGGGGGCGGGTGGGTGAGGGGGGTGGGGGGGGGAGGGGGTGGGCGGGTGTGGGGTGGGTGTTGATGGGGGGGGTGGGGGGGAGGGGGGGGGGGAGGGGTTGGGGGTGGGGCCAGTGGGGGTGTGTGTGGAGGGGGTGGGAGGGAGGCGTGTGTGGGGGGGGTGTGTCGTGGCGCGGGGTGGGTGGGGGCGGAGGTGGGGGGGGGGGTGGGAGTGGGGGGTGGGGCTGGCGGGTGGTGCGAGGGGTCTCAGGGGGGGGGATTCGTGTGATCGTGGAATGGTGTGTGTGTGGGAGGGGGTGTGTGTTGTTGTTGTGTGTAGGTAGGACGGGTGTAGTGTGTGGTGGGGGTGTTGGGGGTGGGGTTGTGTGGTGGGGTTGGGGGTGTGGTGGGGGTGTGGGTGGGGGTGTGGTGGGGGTGTGTGTGTGGTAGGGGGTGTGTGTGTGGTAGGGGGTGTGTGTGCTCTGACTCACCTTAGTATAATAGTTGTCGTAGGCATATCCTGATCCACTGGCGTAGAACTCACACCTGTCCTCCAGCAGCGGCCTCCTGTCCTGAGAGAGGAAACAGAGAGGAGGTTGAAGTGGAACTGACAGCATTTTAACAACATTACATCTATTTTGTGTTGGAGGAAACATAGTTCAACTGAAGACCGAGGTCAGCCTGCAGGCGCCCGCCACAAGGAGTAACTAGAGCACGATGAGCCAAGTAAAGCCCCCCCGGACAAACCCTCCCCTAACCCGGACGACGCTGGGCCAATTGTGCGCCGGTTGTGAGACAGCCTGGGATCGAACCCAGGTCTGTAGTGACGCCTCTAGCACTGCGATGCAGTGCCTTGGAATGCTGCGCCACTCGGGAGGCCCTGCAACATGAAATCTTATTAAAATCTGTTCATGTACACCCCTAGGAAGAATATGAATCATTTTCTGACAAGCGAGCCATTAGAAACTGTCATTTTCTCATTTTCATCAATTCTTCGAATGTTTGGGAATTCCGTAGAGAATTGTGAAAATTCTATAGCAGTATAGAGTGGGAAAACGGCCGTGCGTTTGGACAATTAATAGACACTGCAGTAAATAAAACCTACTAAAAACATCTGTCTTGTCCAGGACCGGAGTCTACGCAGACCAGTGCGCTATAGCCAATCAGAGCTACAGTAGGCCTTAATGTAAACAAGCCATTTGCCACACAGGCCTGCCATCATTCACTTTGAACTGGACTGTGTGGTTACAGGCAGTTGCAACAGCGCGACTTTTGATAGTAAGAATGTATTCACAAAAAGCCACAAAATACACCTAAATGTATTTCTGCAAATGTGTCGATACCATGGGAGTCCTCTTAAAGTGCCTTGCAAAAATATTCATCCCCCTTGGCCTTTTTCCTATTTTGTTGCATTACAACCTGTAATTTACATTTATTTTTATTTGGATTTCATGTAATGGACATACACAAAATAGTCAAAATTGGTGAAGTGAAATGAAAATAATTACTTGTTTCAAAAAATTCTAACAAATAAATAACGGAAAAGTGGTGCGTGCATATGTATTCACTCCCTTTGCTATTAAGCCCCTAAATAAGACCTGGTGCAACCAATTACCTTCAGTAGTCACATAATTAGTTAGATTGCACACAGGTGGACTTTATTTAAGTGTCACATGATCTGTCACATGATCTCAGTATATATACACCTGTTCTGAAAGGCCCCAGAGTCTGCAACACCACTAAGCAAGGGGAACCACCAAGCAAGTGGCACCATGAAGACCAAGGAGCTCTCCAAACAGGTCAGGGACAAAGTTGTGGAGAAGTACAGATCAGGGTTGGGTTATAAAAAAATATCCAAAACACTGAACATCCCAGAAAGCACCATTAAATCCATTATTAAAAAATGGAAAGAACATGGCACCACAACAAACCTGCCAAGAGAGGGTCGCCCACCAAAACTCACGGACCAGGCAAGGAGGGCATTAATCAGAAACAAAGAGACCAAAGATAACCCTGAAGGAGCTGCAAAGCTCCACAGCGGAGATTGGAGTATCTGTCCATAGGACCACTTTAAGCCGTACATGTCACACCCTGGCTCTGGGACTCTATTTGTTGAGCCAGGGTGTGTTTATTCTATGTGTTCTGTTTCTATGTTGGGTGTTCTAGGTTGTGTTTTTCTATGTTGGCCTGAGTGACTCCCAATCAGAGGCAACGAGTGTCAGCTGTTTGGTGGTTGTCTCTGATTGGGAGCCATATTTAAACTGTCGGTTTTCCTTTGTGTTTTGTGGGTTCTTGTTTCGAGTTGGTTGTGTTATACCGTGTACTGTCACGTTTCCGTCTTTTGTTGTTTTGATATCGTTTCGCTTAATAAATGAGTATGTTTGCCTGCAACGCTGCGCCTTGGTCTACTCCTTACCCTGACGATCGTGACAGAAGAACCCACCATAAAAGGACCAAGCAGCGTGTCCAGGAGCAGGCAGACTGGACATGGGAGGAAGCGCCAGGTAAAGAGATGGAGAGGTTGGCGATGGCCCAGGTGGGCAAATCGTGGTCCTGGGAGGACATGCTCGGGGGCAAGGGACCTTGGGGTAGGATTAAGGCCCTGGCAAGAGAGGAGCAGCGGCGTCAGCAGTGTCATCGTCGGAAGGACGAGAGGCAACCCCAAAAAAATTTTAGGGGGGGGGCACACGGCATGGGCGGCTGGGCAGCAGGAGGCTGCCACAGGGCGATTTGGAGAGGAGGCCACCGGGTTTGGGGGGCCAGAAGGCAGGTTGGCGGAGCCTGGATGGAGAGCGGAACCAACTTCCCGTGCTCAGGCATGGCAGCATGGGACGGGGCAGGTTCCGCGGTATGCGGAGCGGCGTACTGTGCCACGAGTGGTCCGGCATAGTCCTGTACGTCCTGTGCGAGCACCCCGCACGTGTCGTGCGAAGGTGGGTATGCAGCCAGGACGGAGTGTGCCGGCTCAACGCTCGTGGTCTCCAATGCCTCTCCGCGGTCCCGGATATCCTGCTCCAGTGTCACGTGCTGTTATGCCAGTACGGGTACACAGCCCTGTACGTCCTGTGCGGATGCCACACACAGAGTGTGTGAGGGTAGGCATTCAGCCAGGACGGGTGGTGGCCGCTCTTCACTCCAGGTCTCCTATCCGTCTCCACAGCCCGGTTCGGCCTGTCCCTGCTCCACGCACCAAGCCTACGGTGTGCGTCGCCAGCCCAGCCCGGCCTGTTCCACGCACCAAACCTACGGTGTGCGTCGCCAGCCCGGCCCGGCCTGTTCCTGCCACTCGCACCAAACCTACGGTGCGCGTCGCCAGCCCGGCCCGCCCTGTTCCTGCCACTCGCACCAAGCCAGGGGTGCGAGTCGTCAGCCTGGTCCAGCCTGTTCCTGCCACTCGCACCAAGCCAGGGGTGCGAGTCGTCAGCCTGGTCCAGAACGTTCCTGCTACTCGCACCAAGCCAGGAGTGCGAGTCGTCAGCCTGGTCCAGCCCGTTCCTGCTACTCGCACCAAGCCAGGGGAGCGAGTCGTCAGTCCGGTGAGGCCCGTTCCGGCTCCACGCACCAAGCCAGGGGTGCGAGTCGTCAGTCCGGTGAGGCCCGTTCCGGCTCCACGCACCAAGCCAGGGGTGCGAGTCGTCAGTCCGGTGAGGCCCGTTCCGGCACCACGCACCAAGCCAGGGGTGCGAGTCGTCAGTTCGGTGAGGCCCGTTCCGGCTCCACGCACCAAGCCAGGGGTGCGAGTCGTCAGTCCGGTGAGGCCCGTTCCGGCTCCACGCACAAAGCCAGGGGTGCGAGTCGTCATCCCGGTCCGGCCAGTTGCTACTCCACGCACCAAGCCAGGGGTGCGCATCATCAGCCCGGTCCGGTCCATTCCTGCTCCACGCACCAAGCCAGGGGTGTGTATCGTCAGCCCGGTTCGGCCAGTTGCTACTCCACGCACCAAGCCAGGGGTGCGCATCGTCAGCCCGGTCCGGTCCGTTCCTGCTCCACGCACCAAGCCAGGGGTGCGTGTCGTCAGTCCGGCTCCGGCCAGCGGGGCTAGACCGGACCAGGGGCGCTATGGGGGGTTGATTGGAGGGTGGTGGGCAAGGCCAGAGCCAGAACCGCCGCCGAGGAGGTATGCCCACCCAGCCCTCCCCTGTTTAGCTCTTATTGAGGCGCGGTCGCAGTCCGCGCCTTTAGGGGGGGGGTACTGTCACACCCTGGCTCTGGGACTCTATTTGTTGAGCCAGGGTGTGTTTATTCTATGTGTTCTGTTTCTATGTTGGGTGTTCTAGGTTGTGTTTTTCTATGTTGGCCTGAGTGACTCCCAATCAGAGGCAACGAGTGTCAGCTGTTTGGTGGTTGTCTCTGATTGGGAGCCATATTTAAACTGTCGGTTTTCCTTTGTGTTTTGTGGGTTCTTGTTTCGAGTTGGTTGTGTTATACCGTGTACTGTCACGTTTCCGTCTTTTGTTGTTTTGATATCGTTTCGCTTAATAAATGAGTATGTTTGCCTGCAATGCTGCGCCTTGGTCTACTCCTTACCCTGACGATCGTGACAGTACACTCCACAGAGCTGGGCTTTATGGAAGAGTGGTCAGAAAAAAGCCATTGCTTAAAGAAAAAAATAAGCAAACACGTTTGGCCATATTAAACGGGTGTTGAGCGTTCGTAAATTAATCAGTTATTCTGTGCTCTGGCACACTCAGAAGAGAGTGCTCTGAAATCGGAGGAGATAGCCAGAGTGAATTTGCTAACTGGGTAACAGTCGTTCATGTTCTTGCTAGCTAACCAAATGACACCTGCATCTCTAGCTGTGTACAGCCACCGAAAAACGATATGAGGGGAAAAAGTCAGTAGCTCACCCACTCCTCCAATGACATCCTCCTATCAGCTAGCTAGCTAACGTTAGGCTCCATGTTTTTAGCTTGCTACATAAATAGCCACGTTATGACAGACTTGTGATCATTGCCTTTGCTAGTTTGATTATATTGACATTCCCAGCCTTAGTTACATATGTGAGTTTTTGTCAAAAATATTGACTCATTGAAACTGAAACGGTGCATCCCGAATGGAGGCAGCAAACACTGTACCAGGCCAGCTGTGATTTACAACCTGATAGCAATATTATATTAATTATGAACTGCATCCATCAATTCTGCCAACAATGCCTTAGTGTACGTCATGGAATGTTGAGTCAAATATAACCTCTTTTTAAAACATCTTATAAAATTGGTTTTGTAGCATAAACTGGGATTTTATTATTTTTTACTGATATTATGATTGTCTGTTTTTTTCATATCTGCAAAGTAGTTAAAACGCTGTCAGTTCCACTTTAAGGCTGTGTCAAAAGTAGTGCACTATATAGGGAATAGGGTGCCATTTTGGAGGCAGCCTAGCATTCTGTAGCTTGTCCTGTCTTAGAGTGAGGGGATGTTATTGTTATTATGGGATGTTCAATCAGTCTTTACTGGGCTGTCATCACAGGCTGTCAGACCAGACCACCCACAATGCCGAGCAGGGCGAGCGCTGAGATAGATTGGTCTGATTTGACTGTTGCCACGTGAGTGATGACAGAGCGGTGACAGGGACAGTTGCCCACGGAGATGAGAGACGAGAGTTCCATCTGATTGTATCCACTAAATTTCATTACTGGAGTCAGCCTGCCTGAGCAGAGTGTGTGTATGTGTGTGTGTGTGTGTGTGTGTGTGTGTGTGTGTGTGTGTGTGTGTGTGTGTGTGTGTGTGTGTGTGTGTGTGTGTGTGTGTGTGTGTGTGTGTGCGTGTGTGTGTGTGTCTGTGTTACTGACTATGAATTCAGCCGCGATGATTCCGTCCACGATGGCACAGAAGAAGGAAGCGATGACACCCATACTGATGAAGATGATGGCTGCCATGAGCTGCAGGAGGAAGAGAAGGAGAGGAAGAGGAGGAGAGAGAGGAAGGAGAGGGAGGAGAGGAGGGGGAGAAGGAAAGGAAGAGAGGAGAGGGAGAGGAGGAGAAGGAGGGGAGGGAGGAGAGGAGTAGAATTAGCAAGTGTAATGCACATCACACACCCCCGACACACAAACACACCAAGTGTCCCAGTGTTGCGTAAGCGCCCTTGCCTCAGATGATTGCGTTGTCTGGATGAGGACTGGGGTACTAAAGGAAATGTACAGCTCTCTGCTTCGTGCCTCGTCAGGCAGAGGTGCTTTATGGGTAATTTACTGTCCTCCAGTCAGAGCGGACCAAAGGGACGACCCTTCTACACAGGGAAGGTCAATCTCATTCCCCCAATCTGATTCAACAACACCTTTACACACACACACACTTCACATATCCATGCACGCACACACAAACACAAACACACACAAGCACACACACGCAAGCACACAAACACAAGCACACACACACACAAGCACACACATTTTCACAATCTCTTCTCACACACACACACACATGCACACAAACACAACAATTTCACAAACTCACATACTCTGACAAACACACACATCCTATGAAGACACATCCTAAACTCAGTTAAATCAATACAACGTCATTACAGTGACAGGGAGAAAACCATTGTTGTCATAAATCCATCCAGTCAGTTGTAAATGAGGGTTTTATAATCAAGGCCTGTTAATGGTAACATGACTGGTGAATGAAGGACTGATTTTAATTATTCAGCTCACTGAGTCACCATGACGGAGTGTGTGTGAGCACGTTTTACACACACACACATATACACACACCACACACACACTGCCCATCCAACCCCAGCAGACCCAGCCGGCCGATCACAGATGGGTGTTCATAAAGTTAATATTGTAAAGCGTTTTTACTGCCTTCCCAATCCCTCCTAGCAGACTGGTGCTGGGCTGATGGCCGTATGCTTGTCCTGTACCTCTTTACTGCCCTGGCCCAGCATCCATCCCTCCCTGCCTTCACAGGCTCTATCAATGGAGATACACATGTTCCTCAACACACTCTCTTTTTACACAAGGTGAAAATCTGAATCCAAACAGAAGCCTCAATACACACAAAGTCCTCTTCTTCCCTCCTCTTCTCTCCTCTCTTCACACATCTCTCCTCCTCTCCTCTCTTATCCCATCTCTCCTCCTCTCCTCTCTTCTCTTGTCCCATCTCTCCTCCTCTATTCTCCCATCTCTCCTCTCCTCTTCTCTCCTCCTCTATTCTCCATTCATCCTCTCCTCATCTCCTCTCTCCTCCTCTCTCTCCTCTTCTCTCCTCCTCCTCTCTCATCCTCTCCTCTCCTCAGCCTCGGTCCAGTGTAGTTCATTAGCAGTTTAAATGACTGCTGTTTTATGGGCTGCAGAAGGAGAGCTCCCTGCCCGGCACAGAACAGTGTGGTGTGTGCAGCAGCAGACGACAATGGGCCCTGACAACAGCATTAGTTCACTTTACCTAAGCACCAGCTGCCAGCTCGTAAAAACCCACTCCCTCACACACTGTCCAGAACCAGAGAGAGAGAGAGAGAGAGGAACAGAGAGAGAAACAGAGAGAAAGAAACAGAGGGAGGGAGAGGGAGAGGGAGAGATAAAGACAGAGAAAGGGGGGCAGATGAACAAAGGAGAGAGAGACAGAATGAGAGACAACGAGAGATAAAGAGAGAGAGGATCTACAATGTTACGTAACAGCTCCTAATGACCGTCTGAAGGTCGAGAGGACCGCTGCGGAGCAGACAGTGGAATGGTCAGTCAGTCAGATAATCAACGGCCAAAGACGACCACCTTGATTATCAGCTGCTGGACACACCACAACCCTCTGGGTGAAATACGGCCCCATAACAGGCCACCGCCCCGGCTACATGGTTACCGGGAGGACGACACACACACACAGTCTGAAATACACCCCCAAACTACCGGGAGGACAACAGTCTCTGAAATAGACCTCTTAACCTCCCCTACTGTAAGAGGATCCAAAACTGACAACACCAACGACCAGTTCTATTGAAACTAATTGAGGCCAAAAAACGTTGAAGCCTTCAGTTGTTCCTGTTCAGGAAACAGAGTAGAGTTCCTCCAATCACAACCCTCCAAACAGGCACTTCCTTTCTGTTAGAGGTCAGAGGTCATGGGTCTCTGAGTTCCAGGAAGTGACAAAGTGTCACCTGATTCTGGTCTGTGGTGTTGAAGCTGCAGGGTGATACGGCTTATTGCTCTTTAATGAGCCAACCTGATCAGCTTGCTATCACTTTACTACTGATACTAACATAGAGGTGTGGGTGTGTGAGAGAGACAGAGAGAGAGCGAGAGAGGTTCTTGGTTATGGACACTGCAGCTCAGTGGGTGTGCCAGCCAGCAGCTATGTTGTCATTACATTTTAAGGCTGGAAGCTGGGGACAGGGAGCCGTAATGGGCAGGGGGGGTAGGAGGGGAGGCAGGGGGAGGTAAGGGAATGGGGTGGAGTGGGGAGGTGAGGAGTGGGGAGGAATGGGGAGATGAGGGAGGGTTAGGAGTGGGGAGGTGAGGGAGGAGGGAGGAGTGGGGAGGTGAGGGAGGGGGAGGTGAGGTGAGGGATGGGGGAGGAGTGGGGAGGTGAGGGAGGGGGAGGAGTGGGGAGGTGGAGGTGAGGGGAGGGGGAGGAGTGGGGAGGTGAGGGAGGGGAGGAGTGGGGGAAGAGTGGGAAGTAGTGAGGGAGGAGGAGGGGAGGGGTGGGGAGGTTGGGGCGGGAGACAGACACAACAGGCCTTAAATCAAACAGAGGACCCTGGCCGTCAACAGGACTCATTGGGAACAGAGAGAGGGGCGTGGTGTGCGTGTGAGGGGTTGGCACAGTGGCACCTCTTGTGCAGAGCCACTATAAGCCCAGTAGTATGTATTTTAAAGTAATGTCATGCTGGCCTCTTCACCTGCTGACAGGCACCAGTGAAAAGAAAAGGTAGCTTGGGATACAATGGCTACAGTATACAGTTCCTGTGTAACCTACATTGGATCCAGTATACTGGGAGTTGCAGTGGAAGACATGGTGATCCAACCAGATACATAACACCAGACAGACCTGTTAAATAAATTAGTAACCTAGAAAGATCCAGGTACAGTCACTGATACCCAGGGGGCCGAGCGGCGCCTCCCTGGCACACTGTGTCCCTTTTGGAGAGGTTCCTGTCATCCTAATGCTTCATCCAATACTAACACAATTTCCTGTGTTCTCACCCAAGCCCTAAGCCAATCACATTCACTTCCCTGACCACACGTCCAATCACGTGCATTGACCGGGACCATTACAATAGAACACTAATCTCATTTGCCGATGGCTCAGAAATGGCCATCTGCTATAAAATCTTCTCTAAACTCATAACGTTGGGAACATAACCCCTATATTGTTTATTTGATGTCAATAGGAAGGCAAGGTTAAGACTTCACCATGTTGCTTACTTACTTTTCTGTGCCTTCATATTTGCAAATGCCAAAGGGGTAGACATGGGAATCGGGCTAGGGTTAGGGTTAGGGTTAGGGCTAGCGTTAGGGTTAGGGTTAGGGTTAGGGGTTAGGGTCATGGGTTAACATCAGGTTAGGGTTAGGGTTGGGGTTAGAGTCATGGGTTAACATCAGGCTAGGGTTAGGGTTAGGGGTTAGGGTCATGGGTTAACATCAGGCTAGGGTTAGGGTTAGGGGTTAGGGTTAGGGTTAGGGTTAGGGGTTAAGGGTTAAGGGTTAACATCAGGTTAGGGTTAGAGGTTAGAGGTTAGGGTTAAAGACTCACCATGGGTCTGCGATTCTCTAGCAAATGAATTCCAACGATCCCCAAGAACGATCCGAAACTCAGCTGGAGAAAGAGAGGGGAAGAGGTTTATAACGGGTTACACTTTATTTACGGAGATTGTTGACTTTCCACTAGAGAGAGTTCAGTCAGTTGTTGTGGTGGTAACTGTTGTGGTGGTAACTTGTGGTGGTAACTGTTGTGGTGGTAACTGTTGTGATGGTAACTGTTGTGGTGGTAACTGTTGTGGTGGTAACTGTTGTGATGGTAACTGTTGTGATGGTAACTGTTGTGGTGGTAACTGTTGTGGTGGTAACTGTTGTGATGGTTAAGGTTGTGGTGGTAACTGTTGTGGTGGTAACTGTTGTGATGGTAACGGTTGTGGTGGTAACTGTTTGTGATGGTAACTGTTGTGATGGTAACTGTTGTGGTGGTAACTGTTGTGATGGTAACTGTTGTGGTGGTAACTGTTGTGATGGTAACTGTTGTGATGGTAACTGTTGTGGTGGTAACTGTTGTGATGGTAACTGTTGTGGTGGTAACTGTTGTGGTGGTAACTGTTGTGATGGTAACTGTTGTGATGGTAACTGTTGTGATGGTAACTGTTGTGGTGGTAACTGTTGTGGTTCTAAATGGCACCCTATTACCTTTACAGTCCACTACTACACTACAAAGTAATGCACTCCATAGGGAAGAGGGGGCCGTTTGAGACGCTGCATGTGACTCACGGTGATGCCAGGGTAGTATCCAGCTACAGCCACGTTCCCGGTACGGGTGGCAGAGACCAGTCCCCACCACCAGAACCACCACAGACAGAGACAACAGGGAGATGGTCACCCATAACGCTGTCCTCCGACGCTTCATATACGAGCTGGGGGAGGGAGGAGGGGGGGGGGGGAGGTTAGAGAGAGGTTGGAGCTGATAGAGAGTAGAAGGAGAGAGGCCAAGAGAAACTAGAGCGAGAGAGAGAGAGAGATAGAGAGAGAAGACGAGAGAAGAGGAGAGAGATGAAGAGAAGAACAGAGAGAGAGAGAGAGAGAGAGAGAGATATCATAATCAACTCCATTATGATGGAGACAAACAACACACCTTCTACCACATGATGTAGACAAACACAGGCACACACACACACACACACACACACACACAGACAGTCAGACAGACAGACAGTAGCTCTGACAGCACTATGTAATGATCACTGCACTATCCATTCCACACTGTGCGCAATTTTCCTGGTGGACTGTAAACTTTCTGCTGATAATGCAGAGCAAGTGAAATACTTTATCATCTCTTGGTTTGTCTGAGGCTATAAGCCGTGGGTGTCAGCATTATTTGATCAATTCAAATGGTCAGAAACATTGGATAATTGAATTATTTAGTCATTGAATCATGATTTTACCTGTGGGGTCCATGACATCTGTTGTTGTTTGTGGTGGTTGTTGTGTGGATGGCTGCTGCATTCTGCCACTAACGTCTTTAGGGTACTTGAATAAGAAACAGCCTAGTAGCTTATACAAAGTTGGTTATGGGATCGCCTACACAGCACAAATCCACAGGCGAATGGATGATCCACTCCTTCTCGTCTCTATAGTCTCCTGCAATCCTCTCCGCCTCTCTTTTACAGCATCCTTCCTTCCCAGCGCGCTCAGCCAGGTGAAGGTCTCCCCCAAACTAGGAATCCGTCACATCACCTGTCGCGCGGGACGGGCGGATGGAGATCAATAATAACTCCAAAGAAGAAGTATCGATTCACTTTAAAATAAGTCTCCAAGTTATCTCAGTAATGTTTACGTCACCCAACACCGTCTGACGGTTAGGTTAGTTAGAAGATTCTCTCTCTGACAACTTCGAGAACCCGACACCCTCTTCAACCGACGGTCTGTTACGAAAGATGCGCAGCAGCCACAGAACAAAGAAATATACAGCCTCTTTCTCACAATCGCCAGAGCCGTTGATGACGATGGCTTAGAGGTACCGTAAATCATTTATGGTTTTAATCAGTGCTGAATCGTTCGTGGAATATGGTACATTTCAGTTAATTATTTATTTGGCAGTGACACTGAAAGTGTCTGGTGTTTAATCACGAAGATGACGTTAGGCTATCATTACGGACCATCCACATTTGAGAAAGATCCAGAAACACTTCAACTTCTTTTACAGGTTACACATCTTTTTGATAGTCTTCGTCCTGTCGGGATGGTCGGTTCCTGTCCCTGACACTGAGACAGTGAAGTAAGTAGGCCAACTGTTTTAACCAAAGGAGGCCTGGAAATAACAGCAAGGTCAAATTTATGATCACTTTATGGGCTGTTGAAGTCTCATCAGCCGAACAACTGTAAACAAATATTGTCGATGTACCCTTGAGTAAGGCACTTAACCCTAATTGCTCTTGTAAGTCGCTCTGGATAACAGCCACTGCTAAATTACTAACATGTAAATGTTAAATATATCGATTTTACATAATGTTTTTTTAATGAATAGGAATAACAACAGATGAAAGATGTTTGGCCAAGGGATCCGTGGAATAGGCCTACGGTTAAAGTGTGGAATACAATACAATGTAATGTTATTCATCTACATGTATGTTCTTAACCCTGGGCAGCATGGACCTGAGAGGCTCACAGCGATATTGGTATCCACAGTACTACACCAATTATCCATTTTTCAACATCCCCCCCCCCCCCCCCAATATATATATATATATTTGTTTACATGTAATTTAAGGCAAATTGGGTAGAATTACAGGATATTAGCTTTAAATCTACAACAACAAAATATATATCTGCCTCATGACAAAATGTGTGGAATTGCAGGAAATGTGCTTGAAAACTACAACATTTTCTCTCAGATGCCAAGAGGCGATCTTTTTAAATGTTCTTTCCCCGGGCCCAAGACTTGGTTTGTCCAGCCATGCACTGCAGATGTCATAGTAAAACTCATTGTAAGCTTTTGTATGGCACTCGAGATGTGTTCTGATTATGATGGGGTCCCTGATGAATTTGCTATCACAAAACGGGACCCCGGACCCAAACAGTTTGAGAACCCCTGGTGTAGGCTACGGATGGACTGGGTTGTGTAATACCCATAGAGCCCCATTTACCACCCATCCACCACCCATAGAGCCCCATCCACCACCCATAGAGCCCCCCCCCACCACCACCCATAGAGCCCCATCCACAACCCATAGAGCCCCATCCACCACCCATAGAGCCCCATCCACCACCCATAGAGCCCCCCCACACCCAAACCCCACCCCCCATAAGCCCCACCCACCACCCATAGAGCCCCACCCCACCACCCATAGAGCCCCATCCAACAAACCCACCCTAGAGCCCCACCACCCACCCATAGAGCCCCACCACCACCCAAAAGCCCCCCCACACCCACCCTTTAGAGCCCCCAACCACCCCCCATTCCACCACCCCATAGAGCATCCCCAAATTCCCATCCACACCCATAGAGCCCCCCCCCCACCCATAGACCCCACCACCACCCATAACCCCCAAATCCACCCCCCATAGAGCCCCGCCACCCCCCATAGACCCCATCACCCCCCAATAGATCCCCTTTCCCCCAAACCATAGCCCCCCCAACCACCACCCATAAACCCATCCATCCATTTCACATAGAGAGAATATCCCAGTATACTGTAGGTAATCAGACATCAACTCGTTACAGTAACACAATAGGCCTACATTACATATTTTTTCTTCTTCTGGCTAAATATTTATTTGAATTAATAAACATGATGATCTCTATGACATAATTACATAGTCATTTCCAGTTTTTCAATTTCTATACAGACATTCGATAACTTTTTATTTAAACGAATGCACAGGAATTTAGATCATAAAACCCTGCTCAACAAGAGGTTCCTATGTAGAAGTCAGAGCGCTAGCTCTCGGCAAAGCAACCTAAAAAAAGATAGTATATTATACAATAAAGATAATAATAAATAATACATCAAATATATTGTACAATATAGAAAAAGCAAGAAAACATCGCCCCCTGCAGACCCCACCTAACCATACCACTCTAACCCATTCCCCATGGTGCAACAATAACATTTTAAAAATATGTCATACTCATAGTTTTCGTCACAGATGTCTATACTGATATGACACACATATCTATACTGATGTCACACAGATCTATACTGATATGTCACACATATCTATACTGATATGAAAAGTGACACATACAACTTAGAGTTTGTATTGAGTGATTCCTTACAGGGTTTATAATGTAATATCAGTATTTATTATCAAGAAACCAACATTACTGTAACTCCATATTGGATTATGCGTCCCAAATGGCACCCTATTCCCTATATACAGTGGGGGAAAAAAGTATTTAGTCAGCCACCAATTGTGCAAGTTCTCCCACTTAAAAAGATGAGAGAGGCCTGTAATTTCCATCATAGGTACACGTCAACTATGACAGACAAATTGAGAATTTTTTTTCTCCAGAAAATCACATTGTAGGATTTTTAATGAATTTATTTGCAAATTATGGTGGAAAATAAGTATTTGGTCACCTACAAACAAGCAATATTTCTGGCTCTCACAGACCTGTAACTTCTTCTTTAAGAGGCTCCTCTGTCCTCCACTCGTTACCTGTATTAATGGCACCTGTTTGAACTTGTTATCAGTATAAAAGACACCTGTCCACAACCTCAAACAGTCACACTCCAAACTCCACTATGGCCAAGACCAAAGAGCTGTCAAAGGACACCAGAAACAAAATTGTAGACCTGCACCAGGCTGGGAAGACTGAATCTGCAATAGGTAAGCAGCCTGGTTTGAAGAACTCAGCTGTGGGAGCAATTATTGTGGGAGCAATTATTAGGAAATGGAAGACATACAAGACCACTGATAATCTCCCTCGATCTGGGGCTCCACGCAAGATCTCACCCCGTGGGGTCAAAATGATCACAAGAACGGTGAGCAAAAATCCCAGAACCACACGGGGGGACCTAGTGAATGACCTGCAGAGAGCTGGGACCAAAGTAACAAAGCCTACCATCAGTAACACACTACGCCGCCAGGGACTCAAATCCTGCAGTGCCAGACGTGTCCCCCTGCTTAAGCCAGTACATGTCCAGGCCCATCTGAAGTTTGCTAGAGTGCATTTGGATGATCCAGAAGAGGATTGGGAGAATGTCATATGGTCAGATGAAACCAAAATATAACTTTTTGGTAAAAACTCAACTCGTCGTGTTTGGAGGACAAAGAATGCTGAGTTGCATCCAAAGAACACCATACCTACTGTGAAGCATGGGGGTGGAAACATCATGCTTTGGGGCTGTTTTTCTGCAAAGGGACCAGGACGACTGATCCGTGTAAAGGAAAGAATGAATGGGGCCATGTATCGTGAGATTTTGAGTGAAAACCTCCTTCCATCAGCAAGGGCATTGAAGATGAAACGTGTCTGGGTCTTTCAGCATGACAATGATCCCAAACACACCGCCCGGGCAACGAAGGAGTGGCTTCGTAAGAAGCATTTCAAGGTCCTGGAGTGGCCTAGCCAGTCTCCAGATCTCAAACCCATAGAAAATCTTTGGAGGGAGTTGAAAGTCTGTGTTGCCCAGCGACAGCCCCAAAACATCACTGCTCTAGAGGAGATCTGCATGGAGGAATGGGCCAAAATACCAGCAACAGTGTGTGAAAACCTTGTGAAGACTTACAGAAAACGTTTGACCTGTGTCATTGCCAACAAAGGGTATATAACACATATGGACTTTTATGAAATACTTTTCCCTATGCCAAAATTTTTAAAAACTCATGATGGAGTCTAATTTTTTGTCCCCTAGTTCCTGTTCCAGAAAAACCCGGCCTTCCACGGGTGAGAACTTCCATTGGGGCGCTAAACTTTTTCCCACGTGTCCTTTTGGGGGGAAGGGGCCCAGGGTTTACCTAGTTGAAAGACTGGTGGCAATGAAATATTGTGGTGAACGGGGGGATAAAAAAATATGTATCATGCTGTAATCCTTTTGATAAAACGTCTCTAACTGAAAATGTAATGTAAAATAACAGCGAGACTTTGTTAATGACCAAAAAACCGTTATTTTCCCCTAATCTATTTATAAAAAATTTAAATGGAGGAGAAAAAATCCATTTTTCCTGGCCAAAGACGGGACTAGAAAAAACAGCGCACCGCCCCCAAAAAACCACAATTTTGGTGACAAAAACTTTTTTCCCACAAAAACAATAAAAAGAAACAGGCAATAAGCCTACGCACACACACACACACACACACTGCATTGATGACATCACATTCCTAAAACTCAGAAGATTCCACAGCAAAAGACAAACAAGTAAACAGAAACAGAGCAATTACAGTTCCATTATAGTTCCATTATGGTTCCATTATAGTTCCATTATAGTTCCATTATAGCAAATAAAATATTATAGTGACTGTATTTTGTTTTCTCAGCGTAGTGGCTGACTGTTAAAGCACTATTCAGTCTCTTTTGGTGAATTACAATAAATGGAGCATTTCACCATGTGCCATATTAGCAGTAGCAAAAAAAGAATGATTCTTCACTGAGAAGAAACAGGTGCAGATATCTAAAACATCTATTAGCATGTTCATTTTGATAAACATAATAATATATCATAAATAATCAACTAAATAAACATTCCATAATTTACAACCCATTCCATTCAATCCAATGGCCAAGACTACTTCCTCCTCTCGGCCGGCCAATGATATCCTTCCTAGTCATGATATTCATAAAGGGCGCGTTCCTCTGCCCAGGTGTTGCTGACGCCTGCCAGATCTTACAACGCCTGGATAGGCATTTTAATTATCAGCTAATCACATCATGTTATAGCAATCTGTCAGTCGATGACACAGTCAATGATGTGGCACACAACCATTGGTTGATGCATGCAACGTCTTTGCAGGGGAACACGACCAAAGAGTTCCATATTCCCTACCCCTTGACCTCTGATCTATGACAGGCAGCAGGTGGAGGACTTGGGGGGCTGTTCCAGGATGCTCTCCCTGCGCAGGTCGTTGGGCAGCGCCCCCCCGACCCCCCAGAGGTTCAGCTCCCCGTAGATCCCCGTCTCGATCATCTCCTCCTGCCAGGGAATGGGGATGTTTCCCGAGGCGAACTCGTCAAAGAACTCCTTGTCGGGGTCGTCCAGGGTGACGCCCTTCACTGTTGAGAAAGCTCCGACGTCGTCCAGATCCTTGGCGTAGACTGTCTTGGAGTCGGGAACAAACGGAGGCACCAGGATCCCTATATGAGGAACACAACACCACTTAGAGAGAGTCATGTGACTGATCATGTGAAACTGGGCACATGTCAGTTATGTTGATTTCCAGTTTGAAATGAAGTTTTGCTGCTTTGTTTATTATGGGTTTCAATAAGATTTAATCAAAGGACGACAAATGTGTGTATATTGGGTAATGTGTGTATATCGGGTAATGTGTGTATATATCGGGTAATGTGTGTATATCGGGTAATGTGTGTATATCGGGTAATGTGTGTATATTGGGTAATGTGGGTATATTGGGTAATGTGTGTGTATATTGGGTAATGTGTGTATATCGGGTAATGTGTGTATATATTGGGTAATGTGGGTATATTGGGTAATGTGTGTGTATATTGGGTAATGTGTGTATATCGGGTAATGTGTGTATATATTGGGTAATGTGTGTATATTGGGTAATGTGTGTGTATATTGGGTAATGTGTGTGTATATTGGGTAATGTGTGTGTATATTGGGTAATGTGGGTATATTGGGTAATGTGGGTATATTGGGTAATGTGTGTATATTGGGTAATGTGTGTATATTGGGTAATGTGTGTATATGGGTAATGTGTGTATAGATGCAGCGGCGTCCGTTCCAAATGGCACCCTGTTCCCTATATAGTGCACTACTTTTGACCAGGGCGAACGGATAATAGGGTGGTATTTTGGACGCAGCCCCAGTGATGCAGGCCGTACCTTCGTTCAGTTTCATCCAGTTGAGTTCGCTGAAGAAGGGGTGCATTCGGAGCTCGTCGCAGGACCCGTTCTTGAAGCCCAGCCTCTGGTCCACCGTCTTGCACAGCAGCGCCTCGCAGATGGACTTGGCGTTCTCGCTGAACTTCTCCGGGTAGGTCACGGGGTCGTTCAGAATCCGCTTCTTCACTACCTTGTTCTCCACCTGAATGGATGACAGCCCATAGAGTTGGACAGAAGGCACATCTATCCAACCCTCTACGTGCCTCAATGTACCTCTTTGTGCCCTCTATCCAACTCTATGTGATATCCCTAGGTTAGGTTACACCTGACCAGCCCAACCCAGTACATCATTCATTAGCGTTGCCTCTGTCAAGCCTCTGGTTGCCTCCCAAATGGCACCCTATTCCCAAAAGTAACACACTCCATATGAAATAGGGTGCCATTTGGAACAGAGTTAGGCAGAGGTGAGCTGTGACTGAAGAAAGCAAGAGAAAGACAGAGAAAGAGAGAATGAGAGAGAGAGGGACAGAGAAGGAGAGAGAGAGAAGGATAGAGAGAGAGAGAGGAGAGAGACACAGAGAAGGAGGCACAGAGAAGGAGAGAGACACACACATAGAAGGAGCGAGAGAGAGAGAGAGAGAGAGAGAGAGAGAGAGAAGGAGAGAGACAGAAGGAGGGCGAGAGGGACAGAGAAGGAGAGCGAGAGAAAAGGAGAGAGAGAGAAAGGAGAGAGAGAGAAGGAGCGAGACAGAACAAGAGAGAAAAGGAGGGAGAAGAAGAGGTGGAAGAGAGGAAGGAAGAGGTCACCTTCTCTCCTCGGGTTCTGAAAGGTCCCTTGGCAGCGATGAACTCATACAGCGTGACCCCAAGGGTAAAGTAGTCCACTGACCAGTCATACTCCTCCCCTTTCAGCAGCTCTGGGGCCATGAACCCTGACAGGAAGAGGTCAAAGGGTACAGTAGTGTCCTCTGTCTGCATCTCAAATGGCACCCTATTCCCCATATACAGTATATAGTAATCTACTTTTGACCCCTACTTTAATGTACAGTGCAGGGAAGTAAGGGAAGGTGTGATAGAGAGGGGAGGGGACAGGTAAGGACAGGTGTGATAGAGAGGGGAGGGGACAGGTAAGGACAGGTGTGATAGAGAGGGGAGGGGACAGGTAAGGACAGTGAGTTGTCAGGGACACTACAGTGAGTTGTCAGGGACACTGCAGTGAGTTGTCAGGGACACTGCAGTGAGTTGTCACGGGACAGTACAGTGAGTTGTCAGGGACACTACAGTGAGTTGTCAGGGACAGTACAGTGAGTTGTCAGGGACAGTACAGTGAGTTGTCAGGTACAGTGAGTTGTCAGGGACAGTACAGTGAGTTGTCAGGGACAGTACAGTGAGTTGTCAGGGACAGTGAGTTGTCAGGTACAGTACAGTGAGTTGTCAGGGACACTACAGTGAGTTGTCAGGGACACTACAGTGAGTTGTCAGGGACAGTACAGTGAGTTGTCAGGGACAGTGAGTTGTCAGGGACAGTACAGTGAGTTGTCAGGGACACTACAGTGAGTTGTCAGGGACACTACAGTGAGTTGTCAGGGACAGTACAGTGAGTTGTCAGGGACAGTACAGTGAGTTGTCAGGGACACTACAGTGAGTTGTCAGGGACAGTACAGTGAGTTGTCAGGGACACTACAGTGAGTTGTCAGGGACAGTACAGTGAGTTGTCAGGGACAGTACAGTGAGTTGTCAGGGACAGTACAGTGAGTTGTCAGGGACAGTACAGTGAGTTGTCAGGGACAGTACAGTGAGTTGTCAGGGACAGTACAGTGAGTTGTCAGGGACAGTACAGTGAGTTGTCAGGGACACTACAGTGAGTTGTCAGGGACACGTACAGTGAGTTGTCAGGGACATACAGTTGAGTGGTGTCAGGGACAGTACAGTGAGTTGTCAGGGACACTACAGTGAGTTGTCAGGGACAGTACAGTGAGTTGTCAGGGACACTACAGTGAGTTGTCAGGGACAGTACAGTGAGTTGTCAGGGACAGTACATTGAGTTGTACTGTACAGGTGAGTTGTCAGGGACAGTACAGTGAGTTGTCAGGGACAGTACAGTGAGTTGTCAGGGACACTACAGTGAGTTGTCAGGGACAGTACAGTGAGTTGTCAGGGACAGTACAGTGAGTTGTCAGGGACAGTACAGGTGAGTTGTCAGGGATAGTAAGTTGTCAGGGACAGTACAGTGAGTTGTCAGGGACAGTACAGTGAGTTGTCAGGGACAGTACAGTGAGTTGTACTGTACAGGTGAGGCAAGGTAAGGTAAGGTGAGGTAAGGTAAGGTAAGGTAAGTGGTAGTGTACCTGGAGTCCCAGCGTAGCCTTTGATATTGTTCTGGTGGTCTGCCAGCTCCACGGCCAGACCAAGGTCAGAGATACGCACGTTACCTGAGACAGAGAGAGTAAACAATGTCAAACACAACTCGAACAAACGTCAGAGACATTGTTAGCAGCCCAGAGTACGTCAGTGTCGACGCATGTCCTGTGTTAGTGTTAAGAGTAAATGGATTTAAGTTGTGAAAGTGTATTGTAGGAAACTATGTACTGTGTTAGCCCGCTGTGTGTGCGTGTATGTGTGTTCACCTTCATTATCCAACAACACATTCTCAGGTTTGAGGTCTCTGTAGATGATTCTCTTCTGGTGGAGGTGCTCCATGCCCTGGATGATCTGAGCTGTGTAAAAACAGGCCCTCTGCTCATCAAACCCTGGGTTGTTCTCGTCCACATTGTAGATGTGATACCTGACCACAGATCAGATTGATGTTTACAAGAGGACATTCTTACCTCAGATCACACATTACATACACAAACCACATAGAAACACAACAAGAAACACAGCAGGAAACAAACAGTAGATAGTCAGACATAAATAGAACCCTCCCTCCCCACACCCACCCAATAGGAGCAAGCTATCTTACCTCAGGTCTCCTCCCTCCCCACACCCACCCAATAGGAGCAAGCTATCTTACCTCAGGTCTCCTCCCTCCCCACACCCACCCAATAGAAGCAAGCTATCTTACCTCAGGTCTCCTCCCTCCCCACACCCACCCAATAGGAGCAAGCTATCTTACCTCAGGTCTCTTCCCTCCCCACACTCACCCAATAGGAGCAAGCTATCTTACCTCAGGTCTCCTCCCTCCCCACACTCACCCAATAGGAGCAAGCTATCTTACCTCAGGTCTCCTCCCTCCCCACACCCACCCAATAGGAGCAAGCTATCTTACCTCAGGTCTCTTCCCTCCCCACACCCACCCAATAGGAGCAAGCTATCTTACCTCAGGTCTCTTCCCTCCCCACACTCACCCAATAGGAGCAAGCTATCTTACCTCAGGTCTCCTCCCTCCCCACACCCACCCAATAGGAGCAAGCTATCTTACCTCAGGTCTCCTCCCTCCCCACACCCACCCAATAGGAGCAAGCTATCTTACCTCAGGTCTCCTCCATTCATGATGGTCATGACCAGACAGAGCTCAGTCTTGGTCTGGAAGGCGTAGGCCAGCGACACGATGAACCTGCTGTGGACACGTGCCAGAATTCTCTTCTCCACCATCGCCCCCTAGTGGACCGGAGGGGAAACACTTTGTTTGCGTCCCAAATGGCACCCTTTTCCTTTCATAGAGCACTACTTTTGACCAGGGCTCATAGGGCTCTGGTCAAATGTATTGCACTATATAGAGAACCAGGTGCCATTTGCGCCAAAGCCTGTGTCTCTAAGGTCAGCACAGGACAGGCTGCAAGGTCCATCAGTTCATTCACATTCCACAAGACAACCAGACACTTATACGTAAGCATATGTGATAAACACGTACATACAAACACACAGGCCCAATACCCTTAGCAGGGAGGGATCTGCTCCATTTATAAACATGGTGGAGTTGGCACCTATTGAATAAGGAGCTCATTAATCACTCTAATGCTGCAGGAGGCTTATCACTTATATCATGGAAGCCAGACACACTACACAGCTCCTCTGGTTCCTGCGTTGGCACTTCATTGAGCGATTAATGTCACTTCATATATCAGCGAGTGGTTTGACAGTCCAATGTCAGTCCAGAGTCCACACTTTGTTTCCCAGGTAGACATCAGTCTGTAAACCAGCTGCCACTGTGGCCTAGAGGACTAGTTGCACCCCTGGAGTATTTTAATGAAATACCACTTGTATTTTATGTCAACTCTGCCCTGCCCAATATATCTCAATGTCCCCTGTTCGTTCAGTTCCACTCCAGACAGACCCTTACACCTCACTGCCCAGAACGGACTACAGTCCAACACTTCCATTCATTTTACTGGAGACCACTGCACTACACTACACTACACACAGACACACACACACACTGCACTACACTACACACAGACACAGACACTACACACACACAGACACACACACAGTTTCACCACCACCACCACCACTGCCCAGACCACTCCTCTGTCTAGTCTATTTGGGCATAGAACATTGTTGTAAAACATCTACAGGAATGATCACGATCCTGCATGGCTGCTTTCTACATGACACCCTATTCCCTATGAAGTGCACTACTTTTGACCAGGGCCCATAGGGATTTATAGGGAGGGGGGTGCTATTTGGGATACTGAGAGGAAGACATTTGGAAGGTGTGTTGTTGGGTAATAGTCCTGAATGAGGGTCTTATGTTGTGTAAAATCCCTGTGATAATCTGAAGAGCTGTGACATTCTGATGAAGGTCAAGGCTGAAGTGTGTGTGCTCTCCTATGTACTAGCATAAGTCTGTTCTGTAATCGGCCCTCCTCCACTAAGCATCGCTTATCCTGGACAGATGCTTTGGATAGGTTGTGTTACGAGTGGTGTTCATCATCCAAACACAAACTTGATTCATTAAACTGTGAACTCTCTTTTGCCAGTCACACACTTCTCTCTCTCTCTCTCTCTCTATTCCCTCTTTAAAATGACTTCCTCACAGCTCTCACACGGAACTCACGTAATAAAACCAACACCTAACAACACACGTCTCGCAACAACCCATCAACTGACCCGTAGTCATTTCCCTCCATGAACTACACTACCCATCAGGCACTCCTTCCTCTATTCCAATGGCAACCAATTTTCCCTCCATTGTTTTTATTTATTTTATTTTATTTAAACAATGTAATTAATTTTGGGGGGGTAGATCAGCTTTAATATTGCAGATTGATTGTAACTTCCATCAATGTAATTGTCTGCATCACTTCCAATCCCCCATATGTTTTTTTCTCTCGCAAATATATATATATATATATATATATACACATATACATACATACACATACATAAAGACATACATACATATAAATACATATACATACATATCCTTTTTAAAAAATATATTTCACTTTATTACTTTCCAACCCAACCACCCCTTCCCTAATTGGAGTAAACTAGTGAACAACAACGCTTAGGCCTCTACTTCCAGTTTAGACATACTATATACATTTTATGGACACAGTCAATTTTACAATAATTCTATTTTGTTTGTTTTTACTCCTGAACTTCCTCTACCCTCAACCTCTCTGATCATTTTCATGATGTCCATCCGGTTTGATTCTATATGCCATATCTTTCTAACTGTGCTCTTTCACAAAATCTCTCAACCTATAACCTATATACTTATTATGGACACAGTATGCTTTACATTAGTTATCTTGTTGTTATTAGTTGTTGTTAGTTGTTATTAGTCCCATCCCTTCAACTCCATTCAACACCACCCATCTATCTCTTAACACCATCCATATTGGATTTCTACTTGCCATATATTTTTCAACTGTACCGTTTCACAAAAGTTCTGAACGTTCTATTCTCATTGTTTCTACAGATTGTAAATTGAAAATAAACATTTTTGCTAAAAGTATTATTATATTATTGATCGATTGACTATGACTTTTCAGATCACCCAGTAATGCTATCTGCAGGGTTAGCTCCAGGTAAATATTGCAATCCTTCAGCCATTCCTGGACCTGTGACCAAAAACAAGCTACAAATGGACAGTACCAAAACAAATTATCTAATGATTCTGTCTCTTCGCAGCAAAATCTGCAGAGCTGGGAAGATTGTATCCTCCATATAAATAACATTCTATTGGTATCAAGAATTTTGTATAATAATTAAAAGTTTTGAATCCGGCGTCATTTTGCGTATCAATTCATAAACACAATCCTTTGGTCCTTAAATGAAACTGGTATATTTTTTTAATATCACAATTTTCTTTAACCAATTATGTTCTTTAATGCAGGGCCGACAGACAAGTTCCTTACTTTTTCCCCCTTCCACTTTCCGCTTCCATTTATGCGGTAATGCTGCAATTATTTGGTTGTAATTTTGGGTAGAGCAGACATTTCCATATGTTTTTGTTAGCTGCATGTGCGACATAACTCCACCAGTCCTACCTATGATTGTCAACGTTCGTCGTGTAAAGGATTGAACCAAGGTGCAGCGTGGTATGCGTACATGTTTAATGAAGAAGTAAACACACGACAAAACAACAAAAGCGACGTAACGTGAAGTTCTAATGGGCTACACATAAACAAGCCAAACCAGAAACAAGATCCCACAACATAGGTAGGCAAAAATGGCTACCTAAGTATGATTCCCAATCAGAGACAACGATTGACAGCTGCCTCTGATTGGGAACCACACCTGGCCAACATAGAAATACACATTCTAGAAAATCACATAGAAAATTACACCCTGACCAAACCAACTAGAGATCTCTATGTCAGGGCGTGACAGTATTTCCTGACATGTTTCCTCCTGCTCGGTGTGCTCCCAGTGTAAGGCACCTAGACACCTGCCCAGAGGGAAATTACAACCCCTCCCTGTTTCACAACGGCCGTGGTCTCACCTATCGGTGGACACTATGATCTTGGTCGTTGTGGATCGGTTTTCTAAGGCCTGCCGTCTCATTCCTCTGCCCGGTCTCCCTACAGCCCTACAGACTGCTGAGGCCCTATTTACACACGTCTTCCGGCACTACGGGGTACCTGAGGATATAGTGTCTGATCGGGGTTCCCAGTTCACCTCAAGGGTCTGGAGGGCGTTCATGGAACGTCTGGGGATCTCGGTCAGCCTGACCTCAGGGTTTCACCCCGAGAGTAATGGGCAGGTGGAAAGAGTAAACCAGGAGGTGAGGAGGTTTCTGCGGTCCTATTGCCAGGACCGGCCGGGGGAGTGGTCGGTTTTCATCCCCTGGGTAGAGATGGCCCAAAACTCCCTCCGCCACTCCTCCACTAACCTTTCTCCATTTCAGTGTGTGTTAGGTTATCAGCCGGTTCTGGCACCATGGCATCAGAGCCAGATTGAGGCACCTGTGGTGGATGAATGGTTTCGGCGCTCGCAGGAGACCTGGAACGCTGCCCATGTATGCCTGCAGCGGGCCATCAGGCGACAAAAGGCGAGCGCTGACCGCCACCGCAGTGAGGCCCCGGTGTATGCACCGGGGGACCAGGTCTGGCTCTCGACCCGAAACCTGCCCCTTCGCCTGCCCTGCCAGAAGCTGGGTCGGCGGTTTGTGGGGCCATTTAAAGTCCTGAGGAGATTGAACGAGGTTTGTTATAGGTTACAGCTTCCTCCTGATTACTGTATTAACCCCTCATTCCATGTGTCTCTCCTCAGGCCGGTGGTAGCTGGTCCACTCCAGGAGTCTGAGGTACGGGAGGTTCCTCCACCCTCACTGGACATCGAGGGGGCACCGGCGTACTCGGTCCATTCCATCCTGGATTTGAGGCGTCGGGTGGGGAGCCTGCAGTATCTCGTGGAGTGGGAGGGGTACGGTCCGGAGGAACAGTGCTGGGTCCCCAGGAGGGACATCCTCGATCCCTCCATGTTGAGGGATTTCCACCGTCGTCATCCGACTCGCCCTGCTCCACGTCCTCCTGGCCGTCCCCGATCTGGTGTCGGCGCACGGCTGGAGCCGCACGTCAAGGGGGGGGGTACTGTCACGAATTCAGCCGAGGCTGCTCCTCCTTGCTCGGGCAGGCTTCGGCGTTCGTCGTCACCGGAGTACTAGCTGCCACCGATCTATGTTTCTGTGTTCTACTTGTTTTGTCTTTATTGTACATACCTGGTTCCCATTATGTCTATGATTTGTTCCCTATTTAACCCTCTGGCTCCCACTGTGTTGTGTGCATGTTTGTTCTATGTTTGGTGTCATCGACTGGTGAGCAGGTTTTGTCCTCCCTGCGTGGAGATTATGTTCATTTATTTTCACGAGTAAAGTACGTTGTCTACTAGCTCTGTGTCCTGCGCCTGACTCCGTCCTACCGCTACACACTGACACATAAGAAAGAAGTCAAGACAACTAGCTTGATTGAGTCTCCGCCATGTAATTATATCTCACTAGGTCAGGATATTTAAGCCTCCATATATCTACTAGTTCTAATGTATCCATGACATTCATGATTTCCTTAAGAGCATGAGGGTGATAGTTTGTAGTGTGATTTCCTTTATGGTCCATTGAGCTATTTAAAACAGTATTATAATATTCTACCATAATGATAGAGTATTGTATTGCTTGCAGGGTTGATAATTTATTATATATGTTGTCAAAGAAGTGTGGATCATCATTATTTGGTCCGTAAAGGTTAATGAGCCATATCTGTTTATGGTCCAATAACATATTTAAAATCATCCATCTACCTTGCGGATCTGTTTGGACAATTTGCACATTCGGATCGAAATTACTGTTAATTAATATCATCACCCGTTTTGAGTTTCTTTGCCCATGGGAGAAGTATATTTCACCCCCTGTACCAATAAAAAAATACCATAGTGATTGAGTGTCCATATAGTGGTCCTCTGTAGCTCAGCTGGTAGTCCACGGCACTTGTAACGCTAAGGTAGTGGGTTCGATCCCCGTGACCACCCATACACAAAAAACTAATAATGTATGCACGCATGACTGTAAGTCGCTTTGGATAAAAGCGTCTGCTAAATGGCATATTATTATTAAATATAGCTGTACCATGATATTTGCATTGTACTAAGTAACACTCCAATTGTTCTCCACTATTCCCCCCGCTAAAGCCCCTCCCCATCCCAAGTTGGGTTGTCATCCCAGTGATCGGCATACCACCCCCGTCCCCCCGGATCCCTAGGCCCCCGAGGGGCCAGGACCCATCCTTCGAAAACAGCACACAGTGCCACCCACAAAACAGAAGCAGGTCAACCGCCAAAAGCATTTCCAATGCTATCACCTCAATATACATTTATATATAGCTATTGAAAATATATATATTCAAATATCTTGCATATCTTAATTTCAATCATTATCAATTAATATGCGTAATAATGTCGGCAGTTCATGCGAAGGATTGTTACCTATAACCCGGATTGCCATTGTATTACATTACATTTTTGTCAAGCAATTATTATTTTAGCAAACAATTATTGTGCTTCATCCTATATTCTCCCTAACATCCTTACCCCCTTGCAACAGATGTGGGATAAACACACACAAACACACACACGCTCACCAGCACCCTTGTGTCCTTATCAGGCCATCGCTCAGATTCTCACACGCTTTGTCACGCTCTGCTCGGGACCTGTATATATGGACAGGGTGTGTTCATTCATTGGGGGTATTTCTATGTCTGGTATTCTGTGGGTTCATTTCAGTTTGAGATATGACTCCCACTCAGAGGCACGAGTGTCAGCTGTGGGCTGGTTGCTCTGATTGGGACTATTTAACTGTATGTTTTCCTTTGGGGTTGTTGGGTTTTTGTCCGTCAGTCAGTGTCTGATGACGTACGTATCGTTATTGTTTTGTATTCGTGTGTGCACTTTACTATTAAAGATGTTCGCCCACCACGCTGCGATGGTCCTTAACCAACGATCGTGACACGGTTGTTACATCCCAGAGCCCAACTCAAGAAAGGACCTGATTTACGAATGCATATACAGTTACAGCTGTTTGAGAAAGCATGCAAGATTGAACAAACATTTTAGATTTGATTAACCTATGTCAAGTCCTAGGTGATGGAGATCAGATCCACCCTCTTCTCCTGAGACACAAACACTCTGGTCCCTCGTTGTAACCATTTATCCCAAGCATCTCCGTGCAGTCAGACCTTTGATTATTTGTGCCACTAGGGCCACAATAATATGCCCCATCTCTGATTGTCCGAGTGTGACCCCCTCCCCATGGGTTACTGCAGCCAGTGTTGCCAGCACTGCCACTACCTGGGTGGGCGTACCCCACCGGCTAGGTACAAGGTCGTCAAGGTTCTCATTAGCAGCTTTGAGAATTTCCTTGTATATTATGCTCTCCCATCAGGGGGCTCTGGCTTTGTAGGACCAACCCTGCCAGGCAGGCTCAGAATCTTGAGGGGGCGGTGCTGCTCTAGTAGGTCTCTGACCGCATTTATCTTTCTGTTTTGGCTGCATATAGGCAACTCACAGCAGGGCCATAAAACAGATGGGGACTTCTCTTTGGTGTATGGGTCGCTCAGGTGGGTGTCTAGGATATAGGGTTGGGGATCGTTCCATCATGATAGGACAATAAAAAAATAGATTAGATGTATACTATATTTTTAAATGTATATCCCTCATCTGCACAAAATTGAAAGCTCTCTCTCACAACCCCTGCTCACAGACACACGTTGGTTCTGGGATATGCAACCATTTCCTTTCTCACTCACTTAACGCCACACTTTTCCAAACACAAAAACGCACACCACACCTTCCATCACAATACATCCACACATACCCACATACTGTGCCTTCTATGTCTTCTGTTTGCTATGTTTTTATCTCCACTATGTTGATTGAGTACTTTTGTGTTCTAATTAGTTATATTTGAACATGTATTATTTCGCTTGTTATCCTTTCTTGTAATACCGTCTTATCCCTTTATAAAATACTATAAATACTATAAATGTGTTTTATTATTACAATCCCTACCATGGCTAGTATTGGGTGTTCCATTATTCGACTCCTCTAATAGAACCTTCAGAATAGCCATGGAGTAGTCTTTGTGTCGCGGAACATTTGGTTGTCAATATACAGTTTATCGACAACGAGAGCAACACGCTTCCCTTTTAATCTATTTTCCTTGAAGATTGGGTACAGAACTTTGCGCCGTTCTGCAATCTCCCTCGGAAACTGATCATTCATGCCTATTTTCGTGCCTTAAAGAAAGAACATTTTGGCAACGATTGGACGCTCATATCTCTGTCCTCTTTGTCCGAAACGGTGTACACGTTCGAGTTGGATTTTATCGACAGCATCGAGTGGGATTTGAAGCACTGTAAGAAAGAAGTCCCTCACAATTTTTTCGGTAACATCGCCTTCTTTTTCTTGGATACCCGTAAATACATTTTAGGAGTGAACTACAAACTGCACTACATAGTAGTAATACAGGTCTTCTGCCTCTCACCTCATATCCTTTCCTCTTCTTCAGCCTCTTCTTGTTGAGCTTCTTGCAGGCGTACAGTTTCCCCGTGGCCTTCATCGAGGTGGCGTGTACCTCCCCGAAGCCCCCCTTCCCCAGGACACGGAAGTCCATGAACCAGTCCTCTCCTGTGGGCTGCATCTCCAGCCACTTCCACTGGAGGAACCTCTTCAGGTGCATGCTGTCCAGGTAGAACGTGTAGGGGACCTCCTTGAGGAAGTCCAGTACGCTGGCCAGAGTCTCGTTGAACAGATCGTCTCCGGCCTCCGCGTGCTTCTCCTTCACCTTGGTGATGCCGTTCTCCGGCAGGAAGGGGCAGAAGTGTTTGGCACTGGGCTCCATGTAGCGTGAGAGCATCTTGGAAGCCTTCTTGATGCGGTCCTGGTCCTCGGCCTGGTTGTACTCCTCCACGTCCTTCCACAGGCGGCAGGGGCCTTTGTAGTCGTTGTTGGCCTCCAGGAACTCCTGGAACAGACGCTTGCCGATGGGCTGCTCCACGCAGGCGGTCTGGAAGCCCAGGTCTAGAGTCTCCCTGAGGCCCTCACACACCGTGATGTGGGGTAGCTTCAGGCGGGCGTGGTACTTCTTGTCCCGGTTGGCGGCCGGGTTGGCCGTGCCGTCGAAGCTCCCGCGCGCCGAGATGTAGGCCGAGTTGGCCACCACCGTTGTCAGGCTGCCCATATCCATGGCGATGAAGGATGAAGGCAGAAACAAAGAGAGAAAAATTAAAAAGAGAGAGGAAGAGAAGAGAAGCACCGGGCTCCGCTGGGAAACAGATCAGAAGAGGGAGTGACAATGAGAAAGCCCCAGACAGCTCCTCTCGTCGTGGACACAGAGAGAAGAAGAGGGGGAGAGGAAAGGAGGAGGAGAACAGAAGGACAGGAGTAAACAGAAGGACAGACGGCCGGATGACCAAAAATGTTAACAGGAAATTAAAGGATTAGAGTTTCCCCCAGACTGTAGTGATTCAGTAGAGAGCAGAGGGGTGATCTGTCTGTCTGTCTGAACCCCTGGAGCGCAGGATGCAGAGAGAGAGAGAGAGAGAGAGAGAGAGAGAAAGAGACACACAGGGAGCATTGATTCCCCTTACTGGGGCCGGAGCAGACCTGAGACAGAGGTTTAGCCTCCTGCCACACGCTCTCACATAACAGAGATCCGTCTGACTCGACACCTTTGTGTTCAGAGTTTATCCACTAACTCTATAATACCTTCCTTCCCCTGTGACTATGTTAACCCGTGAGGAGGACAAGAGGATGGGAAGGGAGAGAGAGAGAGGGAGGGAGAGAGAGCAAGAGAGGGAGGGAGAGAGAACGAGAGAGAGGAAGAGAGAGCGAGAGAGAGAGAGAGAGAGACAGACAGACAGGGAGAGAGACAGACAGGGAGAGAGCGAGAGAAAGAGAGAGAGAGAGAGAGCGAGAGAGACACAGACAGATACAGACAACAGACAGGACAGACAGACCAGACAGACAGACAGACAGACAGACAGACAGACAGAGAGAGAGAGAGAGAGAGAAAGACAGGGAGAGAGAGAAAGAGAGAAAGAGAGAGGGAGACAGAAAGGGAGAGAGAGAGAGAGACAGAAGAAAAGAGAGACAGTGGTAGCATTGATAAAAGTGCTAGGTGATCCAGGTCTATGGAATGTAGAGAATGAATGTAGAGCTAGTCCCATTCATACACAGAACGTCATCACAGCTGAAATGTTCCCACCGGTTTCTGACAATGTGTTCATGTCACCATTTCACAAGCAGTTCTCATGGAGAACCATTGACTAAAGTGTGGCCATTGTGGTTTCAATAAAAAAGCAGCATAATCATGATTTTAGAAGACATCCCATAATTCCATGGCAGCTCCCTGGACATATCATGCAGTTACAGAGTGGTAGAGTCTCACACGAAGGTCACACAGCCTACTTGGGTTCTGTTTGAGCAGCGGACCCAGGGGAAGTTGGGTGAGGTCTAGCTCACACCATGGTTGGCCCTGCCCCGTCCCCATCTGTCCCTATATCTGGACTGTTCTCTTATCACCACATATAAAAGTCTACTCCAAGGGTACACGGTCACATAGTGTATGTCACACCACAGAGAGAGGGGCGCTTGGAAACCAACTGTACAGTAGTACAACGAGAGAGAGAGAGAGAGAGAGAGAGGTGCTTGGAAACCAGCTGTGCAGTAATACGACTAGAAAGACAACAGTAGTACAGTATTAGAATACAGTCTGAGAGAAACAGGCCCTCAGGCACAGAAACATCCCAAAAGCAAGGAACCAAGGAGAGAGAGAGAAGGACGGAGGAAATTAAAAGAAGAGAAGTCCTACAGTTGGTTCCTCTCAGACACCAGGTGAGGAGTGAAGCCAGGTTGCCAGATTGTGGAGAGGTATCCTTCCTCCCTGTACAGCATCTCTCCAAATCTCCCACTGGTCTCTCTTGGTGTAGCTGGATCCTAGCCCACCAACATGGCAACCCTGAAGGAGAAGAGGACGTGTGGCCAGCGGTGTGAGGACTTCGGTCGCTTCGTGTGGAACTCAGACACTGGGACCATGTTCGGAAGAACACCTGAGAAATGGGGTATGTACTGCAGAGCGGGAAAGGTGTGTATCATGTGATTGTGTGGTGTGTGGTTGTGTGGTTGTGTGTGTGTGTCTGTGTTGGGAAATAAGCTGTTGTTGGTTTGTTGGAGTACATGCAATATTCACACTTTGTTGAAACACTCATCTAGACTGGCTACATGAGCTTAATGCACAAGAGACCCAAGTGTACAGAGCTCCCACCTGACTTTGCTGTGTCCTTTGGATATCAGTGTGTGTAGTGTTATTTCAGTGTGTGTAGTGTTATTTCAGTGTGTGGACATTAGATTGAAGAGATAGCAGTTTGACTGGTAAGCTTGTTGGTTTGTGAGGGGAGACTTCTGCCTCTGACCTCTGGACGATCTCACATTGAGATAATCCACAGCTCTCCCCCATAGAGGGCACCTTGACCAACAGGCCACAGCAGTCATACAGACACATTGGACATTCAATTGGAAATACAGGTTTAAGTTACCAACTGCAACCGGACCACAGACAACCCAAGAGATGGCAGACTCCTTACCAACCCCTATAACCATCGTTGTTGAATGCAGCCAGGCAAGAGAAGTTGGCTAAAGCAGGAACAGACTGGTACAAACTGACTCTCTCTCTCTCTTTCCCTCCCTTTCACTCTCTATGTCCCCTCTCTCTCTCTGTTGCTCTCTCTCTCTTTCCCTCTGTCCCCTCTCTCTCCCTCTGTCCCTCTGTCCTCCTCTCTCTCTCTCTTCTCTCTCTCTCCTCTCTTCTGTAGTGTACATCAGTTTGTACTATGTAGCATTCTATGTGATAATGACTGGCCTGTTCTCTCTGGCCATCTGGACTCTGATGTACACCCTGGACCCCTACACTCCAGACTACCAGGACCGCTTAACATCACCAGGTAACAGATGAAAAATAATGGCATCCTACTATTCCCTATATAGTGCACTACATTTCACCAGGGCCCATAGATTCAGCCCATTTGTAAAAATGGCCCTTCACTGTTTACTGCTCCCTGAAAAAGTCCATGTTGTCCCTTGCATCCTTCACCCTCCCCCCTCTCTCTCCCCCCCACTCTCCCCCTCCTCTCCCCACCACTCTCTCCCTCCCACTCTCTCCCCCTCCCCCTCTCCTCCTCCCACTCCTCTCCCCACTCTCCCCTCCCACTCTCTCTCTCTACTCCCCTCTCCCCACCACTCTCCATCTCCTCTCTCCCACTCTCTCTCTCTCTCCTCTCCATCCCCCTCCTCCCTCTCCCTCCTCCCCCTCCCCCTCTGTAGTGTATGCAGTATGTGACCATATCTGGGATGGTGTTGGCTAACCTCTCGTCTGTGTGCAGATGTGACCATTCTGTGGTGTTGTGAACCTCTAGGGGTGTGTGGGTGTTGTAGGGTGAGGTCCTTGCCGCCTACAATACATTGAGTAGATGTAGTACTCAGTCCCATGTCTGATAAAGCCAGCCAGAGGAAGATGTCCAACTGCCTCAGCAACTTCCTCAAACGTCAGTGTCCAAGATGAGACCCTATGTAGTGGACTACTTTTGGCCAGAGCTGAGGGTGCCATCACATTTCAGACTTTATCAGTCATTTACCTCAAACCAACCAACTACATGTGCTAGTCAATGCTTTGACTTCCCTGCATCACAAATAATTTAATCCCTTCCATTTTCCCTCTCACCTTCTCCTCCCTCTCCCATCTATCACCCCGCATCTTCTCCTTCCCTCACTCTCTCCCATCTATCAACCCTCTCTCTTCCTCACTTCTCCCATCTATCACCCTCTCTCCTTCCCTCACTCTCCCTCTCCCCATCCATCACCCTCTCACCATCTATCACCCCCTCTCTCTCCTTCCCTTCCCTCACTCTACATCTCCACATCTATCAACCCTCTCTCCTCCTCCACTCTCCCCCTCTATCACCATCTCTCCTTCCCCTCACTCTCCCATCTATCACCCTCTCTCCTTCCCTCCCTCTCCCTATCTATCACCCTCTCTCCTTCCCTCCCTCTCCCATCTATCACCCTCTCTCCTTCCCTCCCTCTCCCCATCTATCACCCTCTCTCCTTCCCTCACTCTCCCTCTCCCCATCTATCTCCCTCTCCCCATCTATCACCCTCTCTCCTTCCCTCCCTCTCCCCATCTATCACCCCTCTCCTTCCCTCACTCTCTCTCCCCGTCTATCACCCTCTCTCTCCTCTCTCTCCTTCCCCTCACTCTCCATCTATCACCCTCTCTCCTTCCCTCACTCTCCCCTCTATCACCCTCTCTCCTTCCCTCACTCTCCCCATCTATCACCCTCTCTCCTTCCCTCACTCTCCCCATCTATCACCCCCTCTCCTTCCCTCCCTCTCTCTCGGTCTGACTCCTCTCTCAGCCTACAATGACACGTCTCAACAGTCTAACTGTAACTGCACCCGGGGAGAGTACTTCAAACAGGAGAAGTTTGAGGCGCCACACCACACCAAGTACTCCTGCCGCTTCACCCAGAGCATGCTGGGACGCTGCTCCGGCCTGGACGACCCCATGTTCGGCTACAACGGCACCATGCCCTGCGTCATCATTAAGATGAACAGGGTGCGTTCACAATCACAAACCAGCTGGAAATATAACATTACCTTATGTTATGCACATGACATTTACAACACGTGGGGATGTTATAACACGTGTTACTTAGTTATAACACATATTATAATACATTTATAACACGTTAGGAAATTGCGCTGATATACATTATGTTGTTTCTAACCCAGATCATCAACTTCCTGCCCAACAACGGGACTGGTATGGCTCCTCATCTGAACTGCACTATACTGGTGAGTATAAACCAAGATGGCTACTCAACACCAAAGCCATATATTTATATATAAATACATCTGTGGCTCTGCTCAACATGGCTGCCCAGGAAGACAGTTTCTCAGAACGTTCAATCTAGTCTGCCAACAGTATTTGATGGATGGTTGGTGTGTGTGCGCAGAGTGGCCATGCTAACATAGACATGATCGAGTACTTCCCCCCCAACGGAACCTTCGACCTATCCTACTTCCCATACTACGGCAAGCTGGCTCAGGTAACCACGACAACACTGTTTTCTTATATCTATGGAACTAATATCATTTTTTGGGAAACTCCAATGCATGGTGTATTCATTAGTCGAAATCTGTTGCAAAACGTTTTGCGATGTAATCCATTTATCGTTTACTAACGAATCTAACGGAAGCAAAAAGAGCAACACGGAACAAAACCCGGAAGGATCTACCTGCATTTGTCCAATACAAACTCTCATTTTCGTAGCAAAACATTTTCAGTTTGGAGTAAATGATTTCCGTTCCCAACAAAAATCAGACTAATGGATACACATCTTTGCCATGATTGTTAAAAACAGGCTTTGTAGCAGGTGGTCCCTATATCCAACTCTATGTATAAACATAATTGGTATGAACCATGAACCCCCCTCTCGCTCCCTCCACAGCCCACCTACGTTAACCCTCTCGTCTCCCTCCACAGCCCACCTACGTTAACCCTCTCCGTCTCCCTCCACAGCCCACCTAGTCGTTAACCCTCTCCGTCTCCCTCCACAGCCCACCTACGTTAACCCTCTCCGTCTCCCTCCACAGCCCACCTACGTTAACCCTCTCCGTCTCCCTCCACATGCCCACCTCGTTAAACCCTCTAGTGCTCTGATTCTCGTGCAAGCAGAGCAGAGCGTTAGACCCTCTCTTTGTGGTCTCACAACAGTCCCTACTTAAACTCCCTTCTCCCTCAACAGTCCTCCTGAGGAAGCTCGTCTCCTGCTGAAGCCCATCCTATAAACCTTCTGTCACTGCCAAGCCTCTTTAACCACTCTCTGTTCCTACACGAGGTAGACCATAGATTGGATATGCTGTTCCCAGACTCTTAGCTTGTCTTGACAACTGAGCCACAATTAGGGCTTAACCTCTTTTAAGTAGTCTGCGGGAAGAGCGCAATTAATATCTTCCCAATTTCTTCTTCCTCAACAAGTACTTCCTTAAACCATAGAAAGTCCCACCTGGTTTGAGCCGTCTATCCAAGTCTATGATCCCAACCATCTCTGTCCGAACAGTGGTTGTTTTGCTTCATTTTAGCAATCTCTTTTACAAAGCTTCTAGGAAGAGTACGTAATTTATGGGTATTGAGTGATGCTTGTATAACCAAGACATTCTGTATGCTTTGTTCACTCATTGTATCATAATGAAACCATCAATATTATTAAAATCCATAAAGACAATAACAATGTTCAAACATCCTCTATATTTTATTCTCTATAATTTCCAAACTCATTAGATAACAAAAAGAAAAAAGGTACGGTATTACGGAGTCGACATATTTGTTCAGTTTTACAAAAGTTCATTGGGGGTCTTTGTAGTGGACTCCCGTTTTGCCTTTTGACAAAATCCTGAAGAAGTCTTGAGCTTGTTTCAACCCTATGAATGGCTCCATCCTCCCAAAAAGTTATGTTCGTTGATCATACGCAGCTACTTCATTCCTCTGGGTGTCGTTCATTTAGAAACATTTTGGTACGTTTTGTCTCAATGGGCTGCCTGCCAGCCAGGCAGAGAACCACTTCTGATTTATAACAACGTTCTCTTGAATCCAATTCTGAGGTCACCTTGCTTTGAGATGGGATGAGTGGCCTTGTCTCCTCTAGCGTCACACACAGGGACATTTGGCCTCTACTGTCTGTAGGTATTCACAGCAACACACAGGGACATCTGGCCTCTACTGTCTGTAGGTATTCACAGCAACACACAGGGACATTTGGCCTCTACTGTCTGTAGGTATTCACAGCAACACACAAGCACAGGGCCAAGTGACTGCCCAAAAACACACACTCACCAATCTTGAAAATAGCTGCCAGAAGGAAGTCACACACACAAAATAAGAAAATATTACTACAAATAAGCAAAGTACAAAACATACACACACACACCCTCTCCCCTAGGAGATGTATAGGAAGTCATTTCCACTGTCACGTCAACGACTGACACCACTACTGTTCATAATGTTAAATACTGTAATACAGCGACACAAGGCAGATCTCAGAGGTTTCTGGAGGGAATCTTTCCGTGGCCGTATATCAGTTCACTCAAGAACCAAAAAAACGAGTATGGCAGGAGAAGGCTCCCATTTCCTGTAACGGGGAGGCGGGCTGAAGAGGAGCGCGTTGTGGAGATTACACTCTGATAGAAACACAGGTTCAGAAGCAGAAAAAAAATAAGTTAATTCCCACAAAATGCATTATACAGTCAGCGTCCTTGGCAGCAGAGACTACATTTCCCAGAAGGCCATTGCGTCGGTGCGCTCTGTGCATTCTGAAGGCAGCTGAGGAAGGAGAAGCAGGGGCAGGAGCCTCCTCGTAGATAGCTTGGTGGGGAGGAGGGAAGGCCTGAGATGGAGCCGGAGGGAGGGAGAGAGACTTGTTCATGGGATATGGGCTGCATGCATTCCAAATGGCACTAGTCCCAATACAGTGCACTACATTTGTGCCAATATGGCTCTGGTCAAAGGTAGTTCAGCATATAGGGAGTCATTTGGGACACACTTGGTTAAATCAGACTGGTCTGGTAGAGTTGGTTGAGTGAGAACGAAGAACTACTGATTTAATCATCGTCATCGTAGTCCTCTTCATCATCCTCTTCCTCATCTGCCATGTAGGACACAGGGGTGTGGCCTCGCGAGCCGCTGTAGTGTGACTCGTTGGAAATGGACGCCACTGTGCCATCGGCGCCACTGAATATACAGCAGGAAACAGAAGGAATTAGTTAGACCTTCCTGTTACATCACTACCTGTCCATTTAAAAGAGCTCAGAAAGAGCTCAGAGACCATAGAGTTGGATAGAGGGCACACTTGAAACAAAGCTTGTTTTAGCATGGGCAGCGCCTCTGAAGGCTTTCACCCTCCAGATAGGAGATGAGCTCTCAAGTACATTTCTATGGAAGAGACTCACCTTGTGTGATGGCGTCCTCCGTTTGTAGACGACGCTCCCGTGATGTAGACGTTGCTTATTGGGCCCGTGGCCATTTCTGGAGGGGGGGGGGAGGGAACAGACACCATTTATATAGCCTCCTTTACACACTCCCAGCCCAAGTATATCAGGGTGAATAGGGTGCCATTTGGGACGCAGTCCTACTGACCTGTAACATAGGGCTCCAGGGCTCTGGGCACCAGGGTGCGGGCTTCCTTCAGGTCCTCTGGGGAACAGCAGCCCACCTCCAGTCCACAAGACATCCCCATCCTCTTCAACACCTCTACGTCATCATGGATCTCAAACATGTTGTCAAAGTTAAACAGGTACTCAAACCTGTAGGGTGGAGAGGGGGAGGGGAGGAGAGGGATGGAGGCAGGAGAGGGATGGAGGGAGGAGAGGGATGGAGGGAGGAGAGGGATGGAGGGAGGAGAGGGATGTGATGGAGGGGAGGGATGGAGGGTGAGGGAGGGAGGGAGGGGAGGAGGGAGGAGAGGGTGGAGGGAGGAGCGGGATGGAGGGTGAGAGGTGATGGGAGGAGGAGGGGGGAGGGTGGAGGGGGAGAAGGGAGGGAGAGGGTGGAGGGATGGATGAGGGATGGAGGAGAGGGATGGAGGCAGGAGAGGGATGGAGGGTGGAGAGGTGAGTGTGGGATGGTGGTGAGGGAGGAGTGTGGAAGTGGAGGTGAGTGGGATGGAGGATGCGGAGGGATGGAGCGGAGGAGGGGGGAGGTGGAGGAGGGAGAGGTGGAGGGAGTGAGGGTGGAGGAGGAGGGGGGGGAGGGGATGGAGGGATGAGGGAGGTGGAGGGAGTGGAGGGTGAGGATGGAGGGGTTGAGGATGAGGTGGTGGATTGAATCACCCTGAGCACTGCACACAGGTGTCCAAAGGGAGTGTGGGAAGCAATCAGTAGATGTATTCACCGATCGTAATCACGTGAACAGGACAATGTAATGATCTGTGTATTACACCGTCTCTGGTCTCTTACTTGTCGTTAGAGATGCTGCAGTCGATGACGGTCCTCTTGGAGGTGTTGACGATGATGAAGGGGAGGTTGATGACAGAGTTTGGGGGCGGAGCCCTCCCCGCTTGCTGCTCCGCTGAACGGTTACGCTGCACCAGGCGCTTGAACGCTATTTGCTGCACCGAGACATTCACACAACGTTATGACACCGTTCAGTCAACGTCGTTGAAATGACATTCAGGCAACGTTGAAGCCACCAGCAAGACAGGGTGAGCTTCTTCTAAAACGTGTGTATGTTCCACCACAGTGAGTGGAGTGTTTACCTGTAGAATGAGCTCCTGAAGCTGAGACTGTTTCTGCTTGATCCTCTCTAGTCGTCTCTGTCTCTCCACCTGACCATCAGACAAATACATCAGGTTACAGGTGTCTCTGTGGGTCTGTCTGTGTGCTGTGTTGGTGGGAAGGCCGATCCACCTGATCTCTTACCTCTAGGCTCTGACGCTCCTCTGCTGAGTTGGTGGGCAGGCCGATCCACTTGATCTCTTACCTCTAGGCTCTGACGCTCCTCTGCTGAGTTGGTGGGCAGGCCGATCCACTTGATCTCTTACCTCTAGGCTCTGACGCTCCTGTGCTGAGATGGTGGGCAGGCCGATCCACCTGATCTCTTACCTCTAGGCTCTGACACTCCTGTGCTGAGTTGGTGGGCAGGCCGATCCACTTGATCTCTTTCTTCTCTTTAGAGATGATGTTCATGGCCATGAGCACGTTGAGCGCATCGTACACACGCCGTCGGATGTTCTTCTGGTCGTAGGAATGCTGTGGATGGGAGAGAGAAAGGGTCTGTGTCTCAAATGGCACTGCTGTCGTTTCCCAAATGGCCTAATCCCTTCAGAGTGCACTACTTTTGCCTAGGGCCCATAGGGCCGCGCAGAATCTGTGCATCTTGAACTCTGATTGGGCTATTTGTTGTACGGATGAAACCCTGGTCTGATGGGTTTTTGATTGGCCGTGTGTCTCACCGAGTCGCCGGGCGAGAGGAGGGTGTCGTTGGCGCTGAACTCTGCCACGAGCTCGTCAGCCACCTCATTGTAGGTGGTCACGCCCTTTCTCTGCACCTTCTCACACACCTTCATGGAGAAATGCCTCAGCCCCTTCCCGTTCTTATCCCCCTTCTTACCAGTACCACGCTTCCTGGAACACAACCAACCACAGCAGGAATTAGAGAGAGAAGGAGCCAATCACAGCAGGATTTAGAGAGGAGAAGCCAATCACAGCAGGATTTAGAGAGAGGAGAAGCCAATCACAGCAGGATTTAGAGAGAGGAGAAGCCAATCACAGCAGGATTTAGAGAGAGGAGAAGCCAATCACAGCAGGATTTAGAGAGAGGAGAAGCCAATCACAGCAGGAATTAGAGAGAGGAGAAGCCAATCACAGCAGGAATTAGAGAGAGGAGAAGCCAATCACAGCAGGAATTAGAGAGAGGAGCCAATCACAGCAGGATTTAGAAAGAGGAGAAGCCAATCACAGAAGGATTTAGAGAGAGAAGGAGCCAATCACAGCAGGAATTAGAGAGAGAGAAGGAGCCAATCACAGCAGGAATTAGAGAGAGAAGGAGCCAATCACAGCAGGAATTAGAGAGAGAAGGAGCCAATCACAGCAGGAATTAGAGAGAGGAGCCAATCACAGCAGGAATGAGAGAGAAGACGCCAATCTGAGCAAATTAGGTTGCGCGACCCCATGTGGAGTCACCTGACATGAAAATGGGTCACGGGAGAGTTTTCATACCCCCCCCAAAAAAACGACCTTCTTTGTATCTCAAAATCATTGTAAGGTGGTTAACCTTAAAATCTAAATAAAAATTACTTAAACCTAAAATATCAAATTCAACCAGAGTGCCCTTAGAGGAAAGGGCAGCACTTGAACATGTGCTTAACAAGTCACATAAGTAGCATGGACTCACTGTGTGCATTAATAGTGTTTAACATTATTTTTAAATGACTACCCCATCTCTGTACCCCACACATACAATTATCTGTAATGTCCCTCAGTCGAGCAGTGAATTTCAAACACAGATTCAACCACAATGACCAGGGAGGTTTTCCAATGGTTCGCAAAGAAGGGCACCTGTTGGTAGATGGGTTAAAAAAAAAAAAGGCAGACATTGAATATCCCTTTGAGCATGGTGAAGTTATTAATTACACTTTGGATGGTGTATCAATACACCCAGTCACTAAAAAGACACAGGCGTCTTTCCTAACTCAGTTGGTGGAAGAAGGAAACCGCTCAGGGATTTCACCATGAGGTCAATGGTGACTTTAAAACAGTTACAGAGTTTAATGGCTGTGATAAGAGAAGACTGAGGATGGATCAACAACATTGTATGGTGGTGGCTGCATCATGTTATGGGTATTCTTGTCATCGGCAAGGACTAGGGAGTTTTTTGGGATAAAAAGAAATGGAAGAGCTAAGCACAGGCAAAATCCTAGAGGAAAACCTGGTTCATTCTGCTTTCTAACAGACACAGGGAGATTAATTCACCTTTCAGCAGGACAATTACCTAAAACACTAGGCCAAATATACACTGGAGATGCTTATCAAGATGACATTGAATGTTCCTGAGTGGCCTAGTTACAGTTGACTTAAAGCTTGAAAATCTATGGCAAGGCTTGAAAATGGCTATCTAGCGATGATCAACAACCAACTTGACGGAGCTTGAAGATTTTTTTAAAGAATGGGCAAATATTGTACAATCCAGGTGTGCAACGGTCTTACAGACTTAACCAGAAAGACTCACAGCTGTAATCTCTGCCAAAGATTATTCTAACATGTATTGACTTGGGGTTGAATAATGATCTTATGAAGATGTGTTTTATTTTCCATAAAACTTTTTTTTATAAATAATGATTCCACTTTGACAGATTATTTGGGTAGATCGTTAACAAAAAAGAGACAAATAAATCAATTTTAATACCAATTTGTAACAACAAAATGTGGAAAAAGTCCAGGGGTGAATACTTTCTTAAGGGACTGTATGTACTGACATCTCAATCTCTTAACGAGAGAGAGAGAACTTTCCCGAGAAGCCAGCCAGCCTCCCTGCTGAGAATTTACCTAAAGCTGACCCAAACGGCCAGGTGACCTTAACTAGCATGAGTGTTTGTATACAATTGTGCGTGTGGGTGCGTGTCTTACCCGGTGGACCAGGGCGAGGCATCAGGGGGCTGGCTCTGTGGTCTGTACTGGGTACTGGGTGTGTGAGGGCTGCCCATCATCAACCCCCCTGACCCACTGGGCCTCTGAGGAGTACCCATCACCTGAGACAGAGGAGGGACAGTTAACTACGCAGACATAACATTTAACAGCCATAAATTAAATGTATGAGCTTCTTTCAAAGCCCTGAGGAGCGACCTCTAAAGCAGTTCATCTACACCATACTAGAAGCTATGGAGGCTAGCCAGAGCAACACATCACGGCTAGGGGATTAGATATGTCTATAGAACTAGAACTACTAGTGTTTCTATTGCCCTGCATCCCTCTCTAGCTGAACCCTGAGCTCTGGGGCTTGGCCTCATTAATAGGATGATAATGGTGATGAGGGAGCTCTTATAATCCCGCTGACTGATAAGGGTTTGTGATCAGCTTATGCACACACACATGCACGCAGGTCACACACAGGTAACGCAGGTCACACACATGCACGCAGGTCACACACATGCACGCAGGTCACACACAGGCACGCAGGTCACACACAGGTACGCAGGTTCACACCAGTACGCATGACTCCAAAAAACCAACAACAAAACAGGTCACCCTGCCTTGCTCAAAGTTAATATGAAGGCTTTATCGCCATGGAGACATGGGAAGCCCAGTGCTTCACTAGTAGTAGCAGAGGAGGAGAGGACAGGGGCCTTCAGACAGGAGGAGGAGAGGACAGGGGCCCTCAGACAGGAGGAGGAGAGGAACGGGTGCCTCATACGGAGTGAGGAGAGGGACAAGGGGCCCTTCAGGCAGGAGGAGGAAGATGAACAGGGGCCCTCAGACAGGAAGGAGTAGAGGACAGGGGCCCCAGACAGGAGGGGAGAGGACAGGGGCCCTCAGACAGGAGGAGAGGACAGGGGCCCTCAGACAGGAGGAGGAGAGGACAGGGGCCCTCAGACCGGAGGAGGAGGAGAGGACAGGGGCCCTCAGACAGGAGGAGAGGACAGGGGCCCTCAGACAGGAGGAGAGGACAGGGGCCCTCAGACAGGAGGAGAGGACAGGGGCCCTCAGACAGGAGGAGAGGACAGGGGCCCTCAGACAGGAGGAGGAGAGGACAGGAGTTCTTAGAAATGAGGCTGTTACTAGTGTTAGTGTTGTGTCTCACCATGTGTGGGGCGATGTTGACGTTGGAGAGCCCCAAGGTTTTGGGAAGCAGTTGTTTCCCCACAGAGAGGGACTGAGGGTGGACTGTCACCAGGGACAGGACACCTGGAGGGACAGGAACAACACTGTTAGAACACCAAGGCGCGTCCCAAATGGCACCCTATTCCCTATATAGTGCACTACTTTTGAATAGGGTGCCATTTAGGATGCAGCCTCGCTGTTGTTATGGGGGAGGGAAGACTGATAGAACAACACCAAGGGTGAATCTCTTGTCTTTCCCAGCCTCCTCTGGCAAAACACATTGGAGGAGAGGATCTGAGGTTCGGACCTTCTCCAACCTGCTTTGAGATGGAGCAGGGGAGAGAGAGGATCCCAGGGATCAAGGAAACACTATTGAGATTAGGGTTGTCACGATACCAGTATCACGATACTACACCAGATTTCCCATGGCAAAAAAAGAAAACAGGATTTAGACTAAACTCTATGGTCCTATAAAAACCTACTGTATGGCAATTGTGGGTGCTATAGCTGGCCAAATAAACAAATGTGACTCAAGGTGACAACATAAGGACCGTTTTCCTCACGAAATTCAATCTGCTTCATGTTTTGTTTCCTTGCCACAGAAATATCACGATACTGGTTTCGTGACAATCCTAATTGAGATTCACCCCAAGCTCCCTGGAATCACTTATGACATGATTGGCCACAGAGAGAACATCTCAACAGGAGGCAACACTGCCCTCCTCTGTTAGGCGAGAGTCACAGTCTACCATCAACTCTCATTCTGCAGGAGTAGCTCTAGTACTGCCATCCTTGGCCAAGTCTTACTCCTCCATGCTCCTCAACGCCAGTGTTCACCAGTGTGCAGCTCACCTATATTAAAATAATTAGGGGAAACCCTGGGTGCTGTAGCTACCTACCTTTGCTGGGACTGAGGTTCTGGTTGTAGAAAACCTTCATCTCTCCGTTGGCACCGATCCCAGCCGCCTGGAGACGACAATGTTCTGTTATGGCCACCCCACCACACTGTCGCCATGGAAACACCAGTAGCTACAAACTTCTCTAGATTCTCTTCTCACTAGTCGGCTTTATACTAGTCTGGAGCTAGGAGGTGCTGCTGGACTGAGGTCAATGGATTACTACGTTTGTTTACTGTGAGAGTGTTGCTCCATTTCCATGGCAACCTTTGAGTGTGAGCAATTGAGCATCAATCGGTGTACACTTTAGAGTTTGAGGACCTCCGCAACCATCTTAAACACTGTGTGTGTGGGTGGGTGTACACTGGAAGGAGATGGTCAAGTGACGATTAAAGTGGTTTGTCGGTTGATTATTGTATAACAGCAAGCAACTAAATCAGTAAGTACCAACAACCACTTGTTAAGGTGAAATCCACCACTGCTAAATCAGGAAGTTGATATGGTCTTCAAAGTAACTTAGCCTGTACCACTCAAACCACAAAGGGAAGTCCATTAATCTAGTGATGTGTCAGTTCTTCCCTGAAGCAATGACCTAAAACTGGATTGAGTTGGTTGAGAAAAAAGAAAAGAGGGTTCCACTATAGAATTAGTACTAATTCTAATTGTATGGCTTGCACACTAACACTGGCCCAGAACTCACATCCTTTGCCATGATATCAGCTCCTATGGGTGGGAGATAGTCTTCTGGAAGGTTCTTTGGGATGTTCAGCAATGGCTTCCCTACAGCAAAATATGGAAAGGGGAAAAACGCCTTCAGATAAGTGTTATAAAACTGTAGGATTGTAGAAGAAATGCAGAGTAGACATTCATTGTAGATTGGCTAAACATTCTGTTGAACTTGATTTAACAAGGTTGGAGTAGGCTGGCCGCCTATATCCCTGAGGGATTCAAACCACAACACTCCACTAAGCCGCATGGAAGCTTTGGAAACAACTTGGTTACAACATAAGTCGGGCTCCACACTCAGTTATTGCCAAATTTGGGGCACTGAGAACAGAACATAGGCCTAACCGCGTAAATACAACAATGAACGACAGAAGGTTCCCATAGCCGGACAGGGGAAGCTCAACAACAGTTACTTGGATCCAGAAGCTGACAACGTATTACTCAACATACACAAGCACACTACACATTTGGTTGAAACTAAACTACCTAGCTAACAAGTTCGATGGCACCAAAATGCTTGCGCTCTCAGCGTGTTTCATTCGTGGTTTTATCATATTTAAAACACATTTTCATCGCTTGAAATAACAATTGTCCAGCTACTTTTTTTTTCGATCAGAACTGTTCGCAATCATACATGTTTTTGCAGCTTGGGCTAGATATATTTATCTAGAAAGTTAGGTGTACCACCATTGTGCATGTTTAAAAACCCGAATATTAGTTACCATCAACTAGTTACTACGACCCTTCTCACTCGTTATTCTTGATCCGCAACTCCCAGTTGCTGCAGCCAAATTAGGAGAGGAAGAGGTCGTCGAAATCAACCTCCAAACAGGGAACTAGCTAAAACTAAACGTTAGCGAAGCAAACATAATAAACTAGAAAGTTAGCCCAAACGCTTCAGAATCCAAGATCACCAGATCAGATGTTTTCAAATTAGCTAGTTACCTGCATCTTTACAAAGACAGACAGTAATCGAACGAATGACTTGTAGCAATTTCAGACAAGATGGTTGCTTTGCAAGTTTGACAGATGGCTAGCTAGCATGTTGTTTGCCCTAAAGTTAGCACGCAACATGCTAGTTCGTTCTCCCTATCGACACTAGTTATTTATTAGCTAACGTTAGCTCATTGCAACGATGGGAGTTTGGTTTGAATTAATAGCCAGTCAGCTAACGTTAAGGTAATAGTTTGCTAAACCCGCTTTTGGGTTAGACATTAATTAGTTAGTAACTAACTTAACGTCAATGTGGACAATAGTGTTTTATTTACGGTAGAGTGCACTCACTAGCGAACGTTACCTACCTGTTAGCTAGAAGCCGAGTCAGCCATTTTTGTAGCCAGCTAGCTAAAAATTAAGCTAATATACTTTACATTTCGTACAGCTGGCTATCTAAGTTAACTACCTTACCTATGGGTAGAAATGTGATAGAATGACATGCCACAATGCAAACTTATTTCGATTTTGCTTAGCTAGGCGGCTTCGAATGGTCTCTGCTTATGTTCGATAGCGTTAGGTGCAACAGTCATACATTTGATTGACAGTGACGTTAGCTAACTAAGCTAGTTAGCTACTTCTACCCTACTAAAACTGAAACCCAGCGAAATAAACGTACTTGCTCAGCGTACAAATGTAACTATATCTCCTACTTCATAAATACATCAATGAAGTGGGAAGAATTAAAGTCACTTTTCTGATTAATCGCCGAGTCAGAGGTAAGCGTTTGTCCCAAACTCCGACTGAGATGTCCGGCTGCTGAGCTTCCAGAGTTGTGCGACAGACTGTACACTCCAAACTGAGCTTGGCGGTGTCTGAAATGTGAAAGAAACTATTGGATACGCACAAAGTAAACGTCATCACGCGGGAAGCATAGACCACACCTCCAGAACGATATCAAAACATTTCATTGGACGAGACAGACAATATTCAACTATAACATTATCAAAACAGGACATCTCCCTAACCAATAAACCAATATTTTAATAAATAGGTGCATATTCCAATATTTTGAAATTACATGATGTACAACATTTTGTATTTTGTTGAATATTGAACAAACTCCAACCTAACACAACATTATGTAAAATGGGGATTTCTTGTGCTTGGAATGACCCCCTTATTTCCATTGTAACGTTTATAAATAATCTAACTATGACTGGCCTGATAAATGCAATGCTATATCTTTATTTCTCCGTTGCATGATTTATTAGGAGGAAGTCTTCTAGTTCTAGTCTTTTCTTCCAGTCAGGCTACAGTACAGTATACCGTACAAACAGAAGCAAATCATTGAGCCGTTATCATATAAAACAGTCATTGGAACATAAGAAAAATAAACATTTTACAGCATTAGATGCCATAGGAGTGCAATAATGCGTACATAATGTAAAGCCCTGATATAAACAACCCATACATACCGTTTCTATACGTCCGCGTTTGGTTAGAATACTGAGCCTTTACAGTTTCAGCTTAACATTCAAATGGAATAAATGGAAAGTTGAACAGTTAACCTCGGCCTGTGTCTTTCTCCCAGGTTTCATCCAGATGAAACTGATCCATATGCAGCCACAGACTAATTAATATTCCCTTGAAGGGAATATGTCATCACCGTCAATGTGACGTTACAAACCAAAGGGCATTCCCATCAGGGATCCCTTCATAACTACTGTAGGACGTGAGTGTAGGAATGATAGTTAAGACAACAATGAGTACATGTAAACCATTCAACAATGATCGCATCTCAAATGGCACCCTATTCCTTATATAGTGCACTACTTTTGACCAGGGCCCATGAGGGCTCTATGTAGTGAATAGGGTGCCATTTTGGACGCAGCCAATGACCCAAAGATAATAGGTAATTACTATTTTAACCATGGAATGAGGGAGAATGACCTTTGACACTTTTGCAGGGCCCCTATTGGGCTTCAGTCTGCTGGGTGTGGCAGCAGGGGGGGCGGGCGGGCGAGCGTCTTGCGTTCGGCTCGAGGGACCCACTTGTGTGTGGCAGCTCTCCACAACACCGGAGCCAGCAGAAGACTCAGAGTGGTGACACTGAGAACCAGCAGGTACACCTGAGGAAGAAGAGGGCAGGGATGGAAAGGTGAGAGACAGAGCATACATACATATTTGTATTCTAGATCCTGTATACCATCTCTTGATTGATTGGATTGCTGGATTGTTTGTATGTATTCATCTTGCAATTGCCATAAACATCTTCAAGAAGTGTCTAGGGGTAGTGGTTAGGGGTAGTGGCTAGGGGTAGTGGCTAGGGACTAGTTGCTATTGTTTGATTTGGAACTGAGCATCGAGTGGTGGTCAGTTAGTCGGTAGAAGTACCTCTCTGGAGATGATGCCAGCTCGACGGGCGCGGCTCCCCAAGACGAAGGAGAACTCGCTGACCTGCGCCAGGCCGGCCGACACTATCCAACGGATGTGGCGAGAACCCTTAGGCAAGATGGCCGACAGCACCAGCACCGCCATCAGGAACTAACAGGGACATGGAGAGGAAGAGGTGTTTAATTAGAGAGAGTGAGGGACAGAGGGAGAGAGAGAGAGAGAAAGAGTGAGAGAAAGACAGAGTGAGTGTGAGTGAAGTAGTAAGTGAGAGAATTAAAGGTTTAAAACAACAACTAGCATACCTTCATGATGACCAGTGAGAGAGTGGTTTAAAACAACAACTAGCAAACCTTCATGATGACCAGTGAGAGAGTGGTTTAAAACAACAACTAGCATACCTTCATGATGACCAGTGAGAGAGTGGTTTAAAACAACAACTAGCATACCTTCATGATTACCAGTGAGAGAGTGGTTTAAAACAACAACTAGCAAACCTTCATGATGACCAGTGAGAGAGTGGTTTAAAACAACAACTAGCATACCTTCATGATGACCAGTGAGAGAGTGGTTTAAAACAACAACTAGCATACCTTCATGATGACCAGTGAGAGAGTGGTTTAAAACAACAACTAGCATACCTTCATGATGACCAGTGAGAGAGTGGTTTAAAACAACAACTAGCATCCTTCATGATGACCAGTGAGAGAGTGGTTTGAAACAACAACTAGCATACTTTCATGATGACCAGTGAGAGAGTGGTTTAAAACAACAACTAGCATACCTTCATGATGACCAGTGAGAGAGTGGTTTTAAAACAACAACTAGCATACCTTCATAATGACCAGTGAGAGAGTGTGAAGAGTATTAAAACACAACTAGCATACTAGCATACATGAGACCAGTGAGAGATGAAACACAGACTAGCAATGACTACATGATGACCAGTAGAGAGTTAAAACAACAACTAGCAACCTTCATGATGACCATGAGAGAGTGGTTTAAACAACACTAGCAACCTTCATGATGACCAGTGAGAGAGTGGTTAAACAACAACTAGAACCTCAATGAGACCATGAAGAGCTACAGTTTAAACAACACAAGCACCTCAGTAGAGACCATAACAGAGACAGTGTAAGACAACAACTAGAACCCTACAGTAGTAGAGAAACAACACAGGACCTGATCAGATACGTAGAGACAAACAAGACGTAGGAAACACAAACCTAGTAGTAGAGAAAACAACCTACAGTAGTAGAGACAACACAGAGACCTACAGTAGTAGAGACAACACATGAGACCTACAGTAGTAGAGACAAAACACAGAGACCTACAGTAGTAGAGACAACACATGAGACCTACAGTAGTAGAGACAACACAGAGACCTACAGTAGTAGAGACACAACACAAGGAGACCTACAGTATAGAGACAAACACAGAGACCTACAGTAGTAGAGACAACACACAGAGACCTACAGTAGTAAGAGACTCAAAACAAACAGAGACCTACAGTAGTAGAGACAAACACAGAGACCTACAGTAGTAGAGACAACACATAGAGACCTACAGTAGTAGAGACAACACAGAGACCTACAGTAGTAGAGACAAAACATAGAGACCTACAGTAGTAGAGACAACACACAGAGACCTACAGTAGTAGAGACAACACATAGAGACCTACAGTAGTAGAGACAACACAGAGACCTACAGTAGTAGAGACAACACACAGAGACCTACAGTAGTAGAGACACACACAGAGACCTACAGTAGTAGAGAAACAACATGAGACCTACAGTAGTAGAGACAACACAGAGACCTACAGTAGTAGAGACAACACAGAGACCTACAGTAGTAGAGACAAACACAGAGACCTACAGTAGTAGAGACAACACACAGAGACCTACAGTAGTAGAGACAACACAGAGACCTACAGTAGTAGAGACAAACATAGAGACCTACAGTAGTAGAGACAACACAGAACTACAGTATAGAGACACACAGAGACTACAGTAGTAGAGACAACACACAGAGACCTACAGTAGTAGAGACAAACATAGAGACCTACAGTAGTAGAGACAACACAGAGACCTACAGTAGTAGAGACAACCACAGAGACCTACAGTAGTAGAGACAACACAGAGACCTACAGTAGTAGAGACAACACATAGAGACCTACAGTAGTAGAGACAAACATAGAGACCTACAGTAGTAGAGACAACACACATGAGACCTACAGTAGTAGAGACAACACAAGACGCCTACAGTAGTAGAGACAAACATAGAGACATACATAAGCACAAGACCATAAACACAGAGACCTACAGTAGTAGAAACAGAGACCTACAGTAGTAGAGACAACACACAGAGACCTACAGTAGTAGAGACAACACTAGAGACCTACAGTATAGATACAAAACAAGAAACCTACGTAGTAGAGACAACACGAGACCTACGATAGAATAGAGTAGACAACACATAGAGACCTACAGTAGTAGAGCAAACAGAACCATACGAGTAGAAGACTAAACACAAGACCTACAGTAGTAAGACAAAACACAGAGACTACAGTAGTAGAACAAACACCATAGAACCACAGTAGTACGATGACAAACAGACCTATAGTAGACAAACAGAGACCTACATAGTAAACACACATAGAGACAGAGTATATGACTAACAACATAGAACGTACAAGAGATATCAACATAAACCTACTAGTAGAGACGAACAGAGACCTACATAGTAAAAACACAAAGAGCCCTACAGTATAGAAACAGCATAAGAGACCTACAGTAGTAGAGACAGCCACAGAGACAGAGACGCTACAGTAGTAGAGACAAAACAGAATACATGTAAACAGCCATAGAGACAGATGATACGCATGCATAAACAACGCCATAGAGAGACAAATATGATGCTAACACAGCATAGAGACAGAGATATATGCTAAACAGCCATAGAGACAGAGATATGATGCTAAACAGCCATAGAGACAGAGATACGATGCTAAACAGCCATAGAGACAGAGATACGATGCTAAACAGCCATAGAGACAGAGATACGATGCTAAACAGCCATAGAGACAGAGATACGATGCTAAACAGCCATAGAGACAGAGATACGATGCTAAACAGCCATAGAGACAGAGATATGATGCTAAACAGCCATAGACAGAGATACGATGCTAAACAGCCATAGAGACAGAGATACGATGCTAAACAGCCATAGAGACAGAGATACGATGCTAAACAGCCATAGAGACAGAGATACGATGCTAAACAGCCATAGAGACAGAGATACAATGCTAAACAGCCATAGAGAGACATGATGCTGCAGACTGCAGAGGGGAAGCTTCAGTTCTGACCAATGGAGGCGAAGAAGATGATGGCGAGGAAGTCTCTGATTGGCTCGATGCAGGCCATGACCTCTGTGGTGCAAATCTGACCCTGCGAGGAGAGAAGCGCTCCAGCCAGGAAGCAGCCCAGCTCCATGGAAATGTCCAGGAACTCCGTCACCTGGGAAAAGCCGGGGGAATAACATCATTTGACATACAGTTGGTAGAATGGATATAGTGTAACAATCTATATCATAAACTCCCTAATGATACAGCATTGCTTTGTACTGGAATGTCCATTCTAGTACTTCTGATTCTACAGGAAACATATTCTCTGTTGGAGAAGAGAGCTACATCTCCTAGAGGTGCGGAGAGGAGAAGATAGAGGACAGGGGGAAGAGTGAGGAGGGGGGTACGTACGGTGAGCATGAGGAATACGAAGGCAGCGGTCCCCAGAACCAGGATCTCCTTGTTGCCTTTAGACTCAGCATGGAGCTTCCTGTAGTATGGACCAATCAGGAAGGACTTGAGGAGAGCACACAGCAGTAGCACCACAGCCAGAGAGAACAGGACCTGGGACAGGAGCAGGAGGACACGCAGACCCCCAACAGAACACTACAGAACACAGGATAGAACACAGAACACCAGCCTCACAACACAGAACACTAGTTAACAGAGAGAACAGAACCTGGGCTAGGAGGAAAGAACACAGGACAGAAGACAGAACAGAACCCTCAGAAGACAGAACACAGGACAGAACCCTCAGAAGACAGAACAGAACCCTCAGAAGACAGAACACAGGACAGAACCCTCAGAAGACAGAACATAACCCTCAGAAGACAGAACAGAACCCTCAGAAGACAGAACACAGGACAGAACCCTCAGAAGACAGAACACAGGACAGAACCCTCAGAAGACAGAACACAGGACAGAACCCTCAGAAGACAGAACACAGGACAGAACCCTCAGAAGACAGAACACAGGACAGAACCCAACAGTATTAATCATTAGAACTTCTAACACCATCTTTGGAACGACATACCTCACTAGCATGAGACAAATTGTGGGACAGGTTGAGTTAGACTGTGCAGGTGTGTTTACCCAGCAGGTACTATATGTACACAGGGTGTGTCTAGATCCTAGTGTATATACAGCTGTGTGTTAGCTCACCTGCCCAGGTCACCAGATGACACCTGTATGAGGGTGGGCATGACGGCTATGAACAGACCCAGCTGAACATCCTGCATCACCAACATCCCCAGGAGAACACTGCTGTAGTCCAGCTCACCTATGCACACACACACACACACACACACACACACACACACACACACACACACACACACACACACACACACACGCACTCACGGTTTTAGTGTTTGTAACCAGTTACTCATTTTAATGACAGGTGCTTCTTTAACATTCAAATAAAAAGTATTGGAAGTCAAGTCTCTCTCTCGCTCTTTCTCTCTCTCTCTCACACACACACACACACACACACACACACACACACACACCACACACACAGTCCGTAGTCTCCGTACCGTCCTTGTCTGCGCGGGCGCCCCCAGCCAGGAAGCGTGAGACCAGCGGTGTGGAGGACAGAGAGAGACAGGAGGAGATGAAGACAGTCTGGGTGGGACGGATATGCAGCACCTGGCCCCACAGCAACCCTGTAGCCACCATCAACAGACTGAGGTAGCAGGAACCCTGCACAGAGGTCTTCCACACCTGCACACACACATAGGACAGGACACACACGTTAAATATACACACACCTGCACACACACATAGGACAGGACACACACATTAAATATACACACGCATGTACACACACAAAATGGTCTTCAACTATACTCTTGAAATTAACACAATATAATTATCTTATTAGGACACATTCCAGAGAAGGGAGGGAGAGAGAGAGAAAGAAGCAGGAAGACTGATAAGGAAAGAAAATGTGTGATAAACAGATAGCTAGCCAAATGGAGAGGAGAGACAAGGGAGAGCGAGAGAAAGAGAGAAAGAGAGAGAGAGAGAGAGAGAGAGAGAGAGAGAGAGAGAGAGAGAGAGAGAGAGAGAGAGAGAGGAGCGAGAGAGTGAGAGAGAGAGGAATAGAGAGAGAGCGAGAGAGAGAGAGAGAGTTAGGTGTTGGTCTCTGCTGAGACTGAGTTGGTGAAAGAATGTAAGAATGTGGGTTTCTGAGTCACACTGTGAAAATGTAGGTCAGAGTAACGCAATTCACACCAGTCTTTTACCGTCTGGTGATGAAAATGTATGCATCACTAACTATAAGTCGCTCTGGATAAGAGCATCTGCTAAATGACTAAAATGTAAATGGTGATGTCACCAGGCAGGCCAGAACTCCATCCCCTTTTCAAACAGCTCTTAAACTAAAAAGTGCATTATCATCATTTTCACAATTTCACAGTATTATTCCAACCTCATAGCGTGGAAATATATATAAAACACAGAATAATCACATTTTTTACTGCAGTGGGCCTTTAAGAATTTTAACTATTTCAAGAATGTAGGCTAATATCTGATGGAAAATCCCTCTATGTGTGTGGTGTGGGGGGACAGCCTACCTTCCGAAGTCGCTCTGGGGAGAACTCCAGGCCCACCAGGAAGAGAGTGAAGAACACTCCCAACTCTCCCAACGTCTCAACCTGCACCATAGACTGCACAGGGATACATTACTCACACACACACACA